CGGCTCCGCGCGGGCTCGGGCTCGGGCTCGGGCTCGGGCTGGGACTCGCGTGCTGCCGCGCCGTGCCGCGCCGCGCCGCTCGGGCCTGCTGGGCCTGCTCGCTCCGCCCAGCCCGCCGCGGCACTCCGGCCTCGCCTCGCCTCAGTCCGCCGCGGGCGGGAGCCGCTGGGGGCGCCGTCGGCGGCTGGGAGGGAGAGAAGGAAGGAAGGCCGGCGGGCGGGAGGGAAGGCCGGCCGGGCCCGCTCCTCGCCCTCAGCCGCTCCCGCCACGCCGGAGCGCGCCCCGGGCCCGTCCCCCAGCGCCACGGCGTGCGGTGCGGCGGGCCCCCGAGGCGGCCGAGGACGCCGCCCCGGCCTTCGCGCGTGGCGAGCAGCGCCGTGCCGCTGAGCCCCAGCGCAGAGCACCCTCGGGACTTGCCCGGTGGCGCCTTGAGGACTAGTGAGTTGACCTTGGCTGTAAGCTTCGGGTTGGCTCCGTGCTTCAGGGTGCAGCCACTGGAAGCCAGGTCAACCTGTGGGGCCTTAGCTGGCAGGGCATGGCAGGGGAGTTGGCCCTGTGCAGAATGGCTTTGGAGGCATGCCTCTTAGCCGTGTGGCTAATAGGGCTGGTTAGAAATCGATAGTAAGTGCCTGATAGCACAGCAGTGGCTTAAAAAGCACACTTTTGTCGGCATAAGCTTTGGGTCAGAGTCATGGTACAGCCATGGAAAGCTGCAACCAAGGCTGAGCTCTTGCGTGTCCTTATCCAAAAACAAGCCCTGGTGCCGAGGAGACAGAGCTAGGATCCACCACAATCCTAATGTATACAAAACCACAACCCTAAAAGACTGGAAAATTTATGTCGGGCCTAAGCTTTCTTGGATGAGAGTTCGCTTCATGGGAGGCATGAGCTTGGTCATGAGGGGTCACATTTGGGGTGTCCAGGACAGTGGACAATGCAGTTCGTGAAAGCTGGTGCGAAAAACAAACGTGGATCACTTTCAGATGCTGAAAGGCTGTTCGGTTTTGCTGCAGGAAATAGAACATTCTGCACGCTCTACATGTGTCTACTCGGAAGTAAAATCCCACTGAGTAGTACTGAAGGGCAGTTAAGGAGAAACAGGTTTGTAGCCTAAGGTTGGATGAGATGCAGTCCTTTTGTCTTCCACCTTGGTGATCGCACTCCCTGTCTAAACACTGTTTTCTTTTTATCACCACAACGCAACACTGGGTAGACACCCAGTTGATCTCAGTGGTATCCTGCCTGATTTTTTTTTAAGTTTAAAGCACGATCCATAGGGTTGTAGGCATAATCGTTTATGTCCCTCGACCCCAGTGTGTGTCTATAAATCTGCCAAGTTCATGCATCTGATGAAATGGACAGTATCCACAAAAGCTTACGCCAAAATGAATGTGTCAGTCTTGAGGCGCTATGGTTTTGCTGGAGACTTTTTTGAATGCAGCAGTTCTGGAAAAAGCCTTACAGAACCTTCCTAGGTATGCCCAGTATGGAAATCCCACTGAGCTCAAGAGAACTGGCACCTTGGTCAATATGTAGAAAGCATCTCAACCTAATACTCCTATCTTATGCACACTTATCTGGGAGTAAATCCCTCTGAACTTCCTGGGACATACTTCTGCAAAAGCTTCTACTGGGATTGTTCTGTAAATTCAAACAAAAATTAAACGGTTGCAGACAAATCTCATTTTACTGCCTTCTAAACACATTTTTTTCCCTGTAAAGCAGCCTTCCCCCATATCTGAGGGAGATATTTTGGGTTGGCTGGAGAGCATGGGAGTTGTCCAACGGGTCTAGAGAGCACCAGGTTGAGAGACAGCTTTTGCAACAAAACTTTGGCTCAATTACCCTGTGTCAGCTTTGCGTGTCACCAAGCTGAAAACAACTGAAATAATGGCATATTCTTCCTTCTCTTTTTATGCTGACATTTCCTTCCCCTTTCTTTCTTGTTTCTGTAGGGTTTGGAGTTTTGATTATACATTGTTCTTTGTAAAACAATGTGCATATTGATGACATTATATCACAGGTGCAAACAGATGATCCTGTTCCAATAGCCCCTGGTTTCTCATGTGGTCCATTCCCCCTCATCCCCATCTGGATCAAACAGTGGTTTCCTGGCGTTTCTGAAGCATTTCCCCATTCTACAAGGTTGCAATGCCTCCCCTAATTATTCTTTATTTCATTTCTACACCACCCAGTAGCCTAAGAGTTTACTGGCAATAAGAGCTCAAGTTATGTTGGTATTTTCGGCCCTGCCCCCTTTGCTTCGCCCCCCAAGAGCTTTCCCAAAATAGGCTAAAAGAGGTGGGACGCCCCACTACACATCCACACTGCCACAATCCTCTTACCAAGAAATCAGAGCTCTGCATCATCCTAGTTTAGATTCTGAGGTGGTGAAACTGCTCAGAAAAGTAGAGGTCCAACTGAGCCACACAGCTAGGCATCGCAAGGCCTGGTTTGCTTCTCACACACACAACTCCATCCCCGGTTGCTCAGCTCTGGACAGAACATGCAAACAATATCTGAAAGCATCCCCTTTCATCCCAAGTTTCTTTGTTTCTTGCAGATGCTGTCTCATCAGCGGAGCAACCGCAGTCCATCTCAACAGCAAGGTAGGCGACCCTGTAGGGCAGCGGGGATGTTGCAGTTGAGTAACTGCTGGGCACAACTACAGAATGGCTGTTCGAAGTATTTCTGCCCCACTGCATATCCTTAAAAACTCCAACTTAGGTGCAATCCAATTCTAGGCAGAAGAAAGCCCTCCAGTTCCCAGCATTCCTTAGCCAGCCTTATATGCATAGGATCGCACCCTTACAGATAAATGAAAATAATACAAATTATTGGTAGGCAGTCTGAACTGCGCCTTGCTGCCCAGCAAATGCACACCTGAAGGAAACATTGGCTTCTTGGCCTCTTGCCTTAGAAAGCGTCCTCCAGAATCTTTGCAGAAGCTACCTCTAATCTGAAATTTTCCTGCCAGGCAATGGGGATTTCGCTTCCCTCCTATGAGGAAACATTTAAGTGTTGTTCCATTCCCCTTGGGTGTTAAAATGTTTTTGAATGTGCTGCCACAGGAGCTCAGCCAGTAACAAAACAGGGAGCATCCAGGATTTAAAAAATTAATATATGTAGCAAGAGAATTGTCAGCAATGAAAACACCATTCACCTGGTCAACATTTCATTCCTTAAAAAAATGCAGTGAAATATCTGCAGCAAGCACAGCATCCATTTTGACTGTCCTTTCAAGGTTTGTACCAATAAAACTCATAACGGCAAAGCTAGTTTATGTATTAAAATGATTTACACCTCTCTTGTGCAATCACAAATCAATTAGAAAAGTGTGTGGCATGAGGACAGTGACAAGTGCCACTGATAAAAACATTTCACACATACCAGTCCATTAAAACACCATTAAAATGACTCAGGCAGGCAGGCTAAAAGCTCCCCAGAATACAAATTTGTTCAACAGGCACCTGTTAATAAGAAAACTGCTTGACTTTCAAGCAGCTCAAACACTTTCTTTCAAAACCTCTTGAGTACTTTCAAGCTTCATGGAGAATAATGTGAACATCTATACACCAACAGTTAAAAGGAAAAGTGGTTGTGTCCACTTATAAATAAAATAGTTGCCTATCTCCAAAGTCTGATTTTGGGCGGGGGGCGGGGTGGAGTGCAGCTTTAGAGCACGAGCAGAATCATGGGGCCATTTTGTCTGATACTCGGTTCACACAGTGGCAGACCAGCTGCCTGTGGAAAACCCACAAGAAGGACGTGGGTGCAAGAGCGCCTGTGTTCCCTGACAAGTGTACGCAGCCATCTTGCCTCTGAGAGAGAGTTGGATAGCCTAGAGCCATCCAGACCAGGACTGATCAATGGCCTAACCTCCCATTCATTTTTCTACCTGGAATTTATAGCCCCCATTGTGAACCATGGCTGCAAGAGGCTAATTCTTTTGAACTTATCCTCCTCTCTTGGAAAACATGGTCGCATTCTTTTCCAATGCAGATGCTGCCCTTACTCTAGGGATGCATTTTGATGTATGTTTAGCTATAGAATGCAAGTCCTATAGCTCCCTGCATGCACTGGCCAGGCATGTGGAAATTGTATTAATTTTTCAGCCTGGACATGCAAAGATTGCACCCCAAATGATTGCTCAGGTTCATCTTAAAAACACCATACTGTTCCCTTTAAAAAAAATACAACAAAAAACGTTATATAGAATTAGTGGTGCTGGGTCAACACTTGGTAGCCCTTGGACTACCATCTTTATGAAATTCCCTGCCCAAAGAGGTCGTCTTGTGCCTTGTTTATTGTCTTTTGAGCACTAGATCAATTACATGTATATTGGCTGAGATTTTTAAGGGCTGTTATTATAATGTTGGATTTTAAAAAAATCTTTTGGCCATCCTGGGCAATGCTATTGGGATGGCATGCCCCTCTTTGGTCCTCTTAGAGATTGCTATAGCATTGATTTTACAAATTGTATTTGCTGGTTAGATAATTAGCATCTCTGGGAGACTCGTCCGCTGAACTGCAGGGCAAAAGAAATGCTTAAAATTAGGTGTATGGCTGAGCAGCATCTGTAGCCATGGATCTCCGGAGCTCCCTGTCTTGGGGGAAGGTGCAAATGGGGCACGGCACCATTGTCGTTCACTGGGGCAGTGGAGTTCAAGTGTCAGAGCTGGGAGACCAGGAGTCAAGTCCCTGCGCTGCCACGAAGCTGGCTGGGCGAGCCAGTCCTCACTGCACAGGATTGTTGTGAGAGATGGGAGAAGCACGAGCTTCCCTTGAGGGGGAAAGCAAGATACACATGCATTGAATAAGCAGATAATCAGAGCCTCCTTGCAAAGATGATAGTGCAGTGTCGTATAGACGCCATTTGAACTGAGTTGCATACAGGCAGGAAGAAGATTGCATCCAGTTATCTCAGAGAACTCCAATAAGAAAGGTTTAAACGCGCAGAAGAGAAAGCAGGGTACCAAACTCTAGTTTCCGCCTTTTACCTGGACTCTGAGCTCGATTGCTTTTCCTGGTTGCCTTGGCAACAGTTTAGCCCTCTGCCCGCCAGCCCCAATTCTCTTTCCTCTCCTCTGCGCGCTTGATGACGCAATTAGGGCACGTGCAAGGCACGCAAGCGTCTATAGCGGGCAGTGCGCCGGCGCGTTCCTATTTGTCCCTTGAGCTTGGCCCCTCCCCTCGTTGCTAATTGGTCAGTTTCGGATTCGTTCCCGCCGGCGCCCTCGAGGCATGCTGGGAAGCGTGGCGGATGAGGGGAGGAAGCTTAGGCTGGTGTCCTCGCAGTAATGGCGGGCGAGTTCTCCCCCCGACGGCTGTTCCAAATAGGAATTGCGTTGTTCGGATTATAGGCCTGCCGAATTTAGGGTCACGTATTTACTAGCGCTCAGCCAGCTGTTTGATTTCTGCAGCAGTCGCAGCACTGCTACCCTTCGCACTTTCCCGTTACCTGTCTCCATCATCTGCTATTAAGACGGCTTCTGCACATGAGACTCAGTCCTAAACCGTTGTCTGTCTGTCTGTCTGTCTGTCTATCAAATTTCCACCCCACTCATTTGTCAAGATGGAACTAGGGTTGATTTTACTGAAGCATATGAACTCTGGTCCACAAAAACTGAAGCCATAGTCATTTGGCTTTTTCAAAAGTATTAGCAGGACACCGTTCCTTTTTCCCCAGTTGACTCCTAACACCAGCAACTAAAAAATGCCTTCAGTCTTTCTTAGTTGTGCTTCCAGAAGAAGCTTTTATTATGCATGTACTGCGATTAGTTCAGAAGGATCCAGTTTCTCACTTCCACTAATAACCCTCTGGTGTTTTCCCAATGCTTCCTGTGTCATTTTCCTCACCTCAGAAAATCCTTTAAAGATAGACAGAATAGTGAGCCGTCCAGAGACTCAGTGTGATTGGACAGCCTAGAAATATCCCAAATAAATACATAAAGCATGCAGAGTTCCTAGAGCAGTTGCTTGTTTTACTTAATGGCTTTTCTACATTCAGGCAAAAGATGGAAGAAAGGGAGGACCATTAATAGGAGGCCATGCCTGGGCCTCCAGAAATGTCTCAGGATGAGGCAGGCATCAGAAAGCCTTGTCTGGAAGCCCTTAACTTGATTATGCCCTGGAAGCTTCAGGTATCCCTTGCTAGTGCTGGGAGGAGCCTGCTTGGAAGCACTCATAAGAACAGGGCAGGACGTGGCGGGCTTAATAGTAGTGCCGTCTGTCTGATGGAGCAAGGACTCATCGTGATCGCTCCCACAGCCACACCCGCAAAGCAAGTCCAAAAATCCGGACTGTGGTGTTGATTCCTGTGAACAAACCAGTTGTAGCAGTTTCCGTCTCCACCAGGAACACACCTTTGGTAAAGTTAATGGTCTTGCGGGCACAGGCTGTATGGATTTTGACCGGAAAGAAGAAGTCCTACAGTTCCCAGGATTCTTCCAGCAAGCCCTGTGGGCTGGGGCATGTTGGGAACCCCCGGGCTTTTCCGTGTGTTCCAGGCAGATGGGATCGCATCCTGAACAAGCCAATGGACAAGTGTTGGGAGTCTGTTTCTTCCCCAGCTACTGTGCAAATTACAGCTAATCTCAGAGGGGACAAGGAATTTCGAGAGGGGGGCATGTGATGGGTGCTGTCACACTCCTGGCTGGCGGGTGGGTGGGTTCCCCGTGGGCCCCTTCTTGGCCTCTGTGGGAACAGTGTGGGGTAGACAGGCCCTTGGTCTGATCCCGTAGGGCTCTTCTTACTGCCGCATTACGTTCATGGAAGAATACCAGCGCGGCCCACCTCCAGAGCCGGGCAGGAGGCAGATCTCGAGACGTTTGCACTTCAGCTCCCGGCTTTCCGGGGCCAATATCGGTCATGCTGGAAGGGGCTTTGCTTTTGGCATCTGGAAGTGCAAATATCTGTATGAGATGCACCCGCTGCCCAGCGCCCCCGCAAATAAGCGCCCCAGCCCGCCGGAGCCCATCGGGTGCCGGTGCAAAGGCGCCGCGCGGCGACGCCGCTGGCCTCACGCGGACGGGCCGGCGCGCTCGCCTCACGCGGACGGGGCAGCCGGCGCGGCCGCCGGCGCGGGGGGCGCAGCGCAGGCTTTGCTGCGGGGCCGGTGGGAGGAGCGACGCGGGCGGGGGGAGCGGAACGCGCGCTTGCGCCCCGCCCCCCCGAACGTTGCGCTCCCGAGCGTTCCATCGGCGATTGTCTCGGGGAGCCTCGTCCCCCGGTCGCGGCACCGCGGGCGTTCCAAGAGCCCCGCGCGCGGAGGAGGGAGGGAGGGAGGGAGGGAGGAGCTGAAGCAGAAGCGGAGGAGGAGGGGGGGCATGTCCCAACAGCGCCGCCGCCGCCGCCGCTTTCACGACGGACATAAACAATAAAGTCACCAGCGCCGGGAAAGAAAAGCAGGAGTCGATCTGCGGAGGGAGCGCGGCGCCCTTGCTCGCCGCTTTCTCCGGGCCCTTTCTCCGCCCCCGAAAGCAGAGAGAGCGGGAGGAGCGGGATCGAAGGAGAACGAGAGGGCGGAGGGGAGCGAGGCTTCCATTTCCCGCATGGAGGGTCTCTGCTCGCTGCGGGTGAGCCTCTTCTCCGACCAAGGGGGCAGGAAATACATGGAGGACGTGACCCAGATCCTGGTCGAGCCGGAGCCCGCGGGGGCGAGCGCGGCGGCGGAGCAGGACGCGGCGGCGGCGGCGGAGAGCGCTGGCGGGCGCGGAAGAGGAGGCGCCGCGGCGGCGGCGGCGGCCGGGGCGCAGTCGGAGCCGCCGCCCGGTCTTCCCCCGCCTGCTCCGGGCTCCGGCCGCTCGGTGGCTTTCTTCGCCGTGTGCGACGGCCACGGCGGGCGGGAGGCGGCCCACTTCGCCCGCGAGAACCTCTGGGCGTTCATCAAGAAGCAGAAGGGCTTCCGCTCCCACGAGCCGGCCGCCGTGTGCTCGGCGCTGCGCAAGGGCTTCCTCGCGTGCCACCGCGCCATGTGGAAGAAGCTGCGTAAGTTGGCCGTCCGGGGGCCGCGGCGGGTGGGTGGCGGGGGCCGCGCCTGCCTCCTCGCGAGTCAGGCCGTCTGGGGTCGCGGGGGGCGGTCTCGTCGGTATTGGCTTACTCGGGAGCGAGGACCGCTGATGTTCCCATGGAAGCGGGCGGAAGAGGGCAGACGCAAGGCCGGGCCGGAGCTGTTTTACTCAGGAGTAGGGCCCACGTAAATGAACGCAGGGTGGCGGCCACCCTGGCGGTGCTGGCTGGCTCGGGTGGCGTTGATCGCAGCCAAGGGATGATGCCGAAAGCCCCGTTGGAGCTGGTTCGCCCAGGAGTGTGGTCGACTGCATTCAGCGGGGCTTACTTCCGTGTAGACAGGCGTAGGGTGGCCGCTACAAAGCTCCATTCGGTGCTGGCTTCCTCCAGAGTCTGCCCCCCTCGCGCCCTCCGCGCTGGGTGGGATTGAATCCCTTTGAAGCAGAGCGTGAAATGACATCCTCGAAACCCCCGTCCGTCTCTGCTAATCTGGTGCCGCTCAACTCCGTGGGCTCCAGTTCCCATCTGCCTGTGCCGCTGTGGCCACCGGTTGGGGCTCTGAGAGCAGCCCTCCCCGCGTGGCGTCTGCAGCGGAGGAAGCCCCTCGGCTCTGAGTGCGGGGATAGGATGGCAGCCTCTCGGTGCGCTCTTGGGCATGGCCGGCTTAGAAGCAGCTCCCACCAGAGTCACGCATTTATCTTTTTATGTATTGTGTGCCAGGGCTTCCTTCCTGGGGGTTGTGTCTGAACCATCTCGTGCCCCAGGCCTGCTGGTGCCTCTTGGAGAAGGGAACCCCACGGGTGTGACGGGGCTGCACTTTGCCAAGTGGGCCCGGTTTCTCAGCTGTTCGGCTCTGTCCTGGTCAGATCCGACTTCTGACACAACTTCTGCTGACTTCTTCATGGTGTCATTTCTTGATGTACTCATTTATTCCATTCCTGCAACTTACACCTGTGTAAAGCAGTTAAGGGCAGCCGGAGATGATGCTATAAACCTCTTATAATGTGGTGTGGATTTCTTTGTGCATGATCCTGAGAGTGCCTTGCACACTTTCAATCTCCCCTCCCCACTTTCACTAGTGTTTAGATGAACAAAGTCAGAGCTGGGTTAAGAACATAAAACCTGCTGGATCAGGCCAAGCGTTCTGTTCGCACAGCACCCACAACCAAACAGCTGTCCAAAGGACGGTGGCAGGACAGGGGTGCAACCGCACTGCCTCATCCAAGTTCCCCGGGAACTGGAGGATGCACTCATGCTGTCTCTGATGTCCCCGGAGGTCCCCAGCCACTGATAATCTTGTCCCCCAGGAATTCATCCACCCCTTTTAAAGCTTCCAGATTGGTGGCCGTCACAGCACAGTTCAGCCATGGGCTGCGGGAAGTTGTCTTTCTTTCATCTCTCTTGGAATTTCCCACCCATCAGCTTCATGGGATGATCCTTTAGGCGTTAGTACTATAAGGCAAGGAAGACAGGTGCTTACTGGGACTGGCTTGTTGGTGAGGAAGGGGCCCTCCAGCAGCAACCGTGCCAGGTTTGCCGAACCGGGCAACCCACTTGCTAGGGGTGATCGGCCCTTAAGGGTGTATGTGGGTGCCGTGCTGGGCGAAGCCAGGGGCCCATCGTTCCGTTCACAAGGTGGCCAGCCCTCTGTGCATGCTGAGCCCCCAGGCAGGGTGTGGGGGCCGCACCAGCCTTCTGCTCCTGCTACGCGTGGGCATGCTGTGGGGAGGTACCAGCGCAAGGAGCCATGGAAAGGGTTTCAGCATGGCTTGTGGGTACATATTCTTTTGGCCCATTGTCACAAGCCACACTTAGGACACACATAAAAAGGAAATTGACCCTATCTGAGATGCCATGCATAAGGGACGGCGTATAAAGGTTTTAAGTGAATAAACTAAATAAATATTTGTCTCTCCGTTAATTGTTTCCCTTTTGATAGTCTTACCGGTTGTAATGAGATTTGCAAGGAGTATGTTTATAGACGAATGGGGGACTTAGAAGAGCCTTCTGGTGCCCCCGGATGCCCTCGGCTACGATTCCTGTCAGCCTGACTCATGGCTAGTGGTTGGGGCTTATGGGCTTTGTAACCCAACACACCTAGAGGGCAGCAGGTTGGCATGGGCCAGCTTAGAAGCAAGCCCTTGTCTGCTGCACTTGACGAATTACTTAAAGGTGCCCAAACCTCCTGGAACTTATTCCCATCCAAAGTGTGTCCAGAACTGTGGCTGGCGCTTAAGTCGGGGAAATGCATCTAACTGGAACAGGTGTGTTGGATTGTGCTGTGTTGTGCGCTCCCGCACGTAGGAGAAAGCACTCTGGGATTCATCCGGACGAGCTTCCGAGTAGGACTGGACTCCACCAGTAGGATTGGACTCCTCTTCGACTGAGGCTTGGTTGGGGCAGGCAAAGAAAGCCTCTGAATCTCTTTCAGGGATGCACAATCTGCTGACTGCTCTGGGCCTCCCATTTCTGGGGACAGTTCGATCACTGTGATTAAATTTAAGCTGGAGCAATGCCTCCCTCACAGGCACGGGCCAGAAGGCTCATTTAGGTCAGGACATACGGAAAGCTCTGATGGCGCAGACCAAGGCTCCGTCTGGTGCCACAGGCTGTTCATGGCAGCCAGCCAGCCGCTGATGGGAGGTGCCAGCAGGACCTGGGTGCAACAGCACCCTTCTACCCATGTTCCCCAGCAACTGGTATACACAGCCACACTGCCTCTGATGCTAGAGTGAGCAGGTAGCCATCCAGACTACTAACCAGGGATAGCCTCTTCCCGCATAAACGTGTCCGGTCGCCTTCAAATCTAGAGTTCGGGATGCGCTATGTCAAGATGGCCAGCAAAGGTTATGGAGCTTTCCTCCCCTCCCCTGGAGGTTTGTCAAAGTCCAGGGCCCACTTTGGCTTGGAAATGTTTGGGGAGATTTGTGTGGGGCTAGTTTGCAGGGGCGAGTTCAGCTGTCAGGTTCCTGAGTTGTCAGCTACAGCCCTATGCCAGCTGGGACTAAGTCTCCTGAACCTCAAGTTCTCTGAGTAGACATGTGCGGAGTTGCCCTGTTAATAGATCTTGGGGTGCAATTCTGCCCCCACTCCCCTGAAACAAAGCCCTTTTGAATTCACTGAGACTACAGAGTGGGCATGCACTGGTTTGCAATGTCAGTCTTTAGCTTTAGCGGAGCTTTTCATCCATGCTTGTTAATATCGGTTTGGGGATTATTGCCATGTCCCCAGGGGAAAGCACGTGACTAGGGCTGGGATGCGCTCAGCTTGGATGCTGTAGTGGTTCGAATGCCACTCTCAGGAGATCTGGGCGCATTAGATGGCTCTAAGCCAGTCATGCACTCTGAGCCCACCTCACCGGACTGTTGTGAGGATAAAATGGGGAAGAAATGATCCTATAAGCTTTGAGGAAACAACGCAAGATATATCTGTACTAACAAACACATCAGAATAGACTCCCATTTAAATGAAGTAAAAATGAACCCATTTTTAAAGTGTCTAAGGTATTCTGAGAAGGTTTCCACCAGCTGCAACTTGAGTTCCTGCCATCTAGTGACCTGTGCTGGGTCCAGAGACAACAGGGAGTTAAAGTTAATTCCTTTATTCATTTTATAATATTTTGGTATGCTTGCTTTGCGCTGTGTTGCCTTGACATAAAGGGACTGTCTTTTTGTCGTTGGACTGACTGCAGCTCAATTGTGGACCTATCTAAGCACAGCATAATCCCTCAGTAAAATTTACTCCCGGGTAAATGTGTTTAAGATGGTTGCCTTAACCTCTCCACCATAATTCTCCCTTGTTGCAAATCCTGCTTGCATCCCAGTTGTTTTGGATGTGCTGAGCATTGCTTTTAAACCATAAATATTGGGAATGTGTGATCTGTGAAACAGACAAACTCACTCTTCAGTGGATGAGCAGTCTGGAAAGCTGGAAACGATGCTGAATTGAGTATGTCATCCCGCAAGAATAGCACACTCGTACCTGGGGTTGCCTTCTGGTGTTTCATTCCAGGCTTTTGGAATTCTCCGGATGGTCAAAGCCCTTTTCTTACCAATCGTGGGTGGTTTCTTCATTTGGGGGCTCTTTTTGCCTGTGTCCTGTCAGGCTGAGTTGTTTCTTCTAAGGCTCAGTCGCTGTTCATAAGAGCTTTAAGTTACGCCATGGCTGTTGCTCTTTGTACCATCTCTTTTGCCTCTGGCCTTGTTCACAAGGGGAATGTGGCTCTCCAGACCTCCACTGAAATGGAATTTGGCCCTTGGACTGAAAGAGGGTCCTTCGCTCTGCCCCAGAATGTGGAAGAACTGAAGACCAAATTCAGAATGCCCCGAGCTGAGGTCGTCCATAGAATTGTACCTTTTCTCCTTCCTTCACCCTGTTTGTCTCCAAGCATCCCAAGCCATCTCTCTCTCTCTATCTTTCGCCTGCTCTTTGTAAGAATAAAATAACATGGGCTCTGCAGCAGCCAAACGGGCCTGGAATGAATTAGTGGCTGGAGAGGAAATGGTCGAAATGCATTTTCCAAGCGCAGGCTTTTGGTAAAGAGTAGAGTGTAGCCACCGAAGCTCCGGGTTCTACCCTCAACAATTCTGCAGAACAGAACAGATCTAGATTGTGGTGTGTGTGTTGCTCAGGGTACCTTTTCGGGGGGCGTGCTTGGTTACTTGCTCCCCCTCCTCTTTCCCTACTTCATGTGAGATTCTTGTCCAGGGTTGGGTTGACTCCAGTGTGATGTGGCGCTTTGTAAACAGTCCCCCTCTATTCTGAGCCCCGGTTACGGGTGCCTCCCCAAGCCACAAGTTTAGCTGCAGGCAGGAGCAAGTTCGAACCTGCCATTTTGAATTTCCCACAGTGCTGTCGCGAATGCGTGATGTAGCATCTGGGCCAGGGTATTGTGGGGAGTTAATACGGCAGCCCACGCTTGGTGGATGTAATTTTCATTCTGCACAGCAGTCTGGAGTGACGTGTGATTGATCTAACAGGGATGCGAAAGGCTTCGCACGCTTATTTGGGGCCGAGCAGGTGGAGAACGGCTAAGGAGGTGCGAACTGGCGTTGTGTGCCTTGAGTGTGACTCGGTGATGGTTGCTAAATAATATTGTAAAAGTCCGTGGTGTCCAGCATGTGTTTTGGTCTCTGAATCCTCTTAGCCCCATGTTGGAGGGCAGCAGATTCCACACACACACACACACACACAAAATTGCATGTGGGAAGATTCAGTGCTTTTATTGAACTTTATTGAACCACTTGATGATTCTAGTGAATGTGCTGGAATGAGAAGGGTTTCTCGTTAAAATCTGATGCAGAATACATGGTGTAAAGAGGAGCAGGAATTAAACTAATGCTTTAATACAGGAGGACATGGAAGCGGGATCCCCATTCCCAGCCTCGTGCAGGCCCTTCCACGCTTCCCGATGGCTCCTCTCTGGTCCTAGCCTTTCCGTGCCGGCTCAGCCCTTTCATCTTGATCTCCAAATAGCGTTGCTCCATGTCAGTGCACTGGAACCGTTGTCCTCAGTTCTCCTTTTGCAGCTTCTCTTCCTTCTTTCAGGTCCCTTCCATAATTGGCAGTTGTTGAGGTAAAGAGCTGTCTTCTTGCTTAGCCAACTTGCTGAGAGGGGTCAGGTAAAGCCAGCAGCCATCTGGCGCACCGTGGGGTTCTGCTGTCTCTGGTCTTCGTGCTCCCCTAACCTGGTCACATGGAAATAATTCTTCCTTGTTTTGGGGTGAATAAATACCTGCCGGCATGATTCGCGTTTGTGTCTGCGAGAAAGGACACCTTCTAGCATTTCCCCGAATTAAAATCCACTTCCTTCTTTGGCAGCTGAGTGGCCCAAGACCATGACCGGCCTTCCGAGCACGTCGGGAACAACTGCCAGCGTGGTGATCATCCGGGGCTCAAAGATGTACGTGGCTCACGTCGGCGACTCAGGGGTCGTGCTTGGAGTCCAGGATGACCCCAAAGATGACTTTGTCCGGGCTGTGGAGGTGACGCAGGATCACAAACCTGAACTTCCGAAGGAGAGGCAGCGGATCGAAGGTCTTGGGGGCAGGTAAGGATCAGGCCTTGTTAACTCTTGGGCTCCCAGGCAGAGCTGTTTTCGCAGTGCTAGAACATCCGTTGCCCTGATTGGCAGTCCCGGCTCCGGTTCTTGGGAGAAGAAGGGCCTTCGCCAGCAGCTGCGGCTTGATGCTTTTTCAATTGGCGAGTCCAAGGACTGGATCTTGGACTGATATGGTTAAAACTACAATAGGCACCACCAGTGTGGCGTAGTGGTTAAGAGCGTGGGACTGGGACTCAGACGACCTGCGTTCGAGTCCCCGCTCAGCCATGGAGCCCACTGGGTGACTTTGGGCCAGTCACAGACTCTCAGCCCAACCTACCTCACAGGGCTGTTGTTGTGGGGATAAGATGGAGGAGCAGAATGATGTCAGCTGCCTTGAGCCCTTTGTTGGAAAACGGCAGGCTATAAATCAGAAAAATAAATAAAATAAATAAATAAATCGAAAATAAAACTGTTTGGGGAAACCAGCTCCCGAAAATCCCCCATCCCACAAATGATCAGCGGTGAAAAACAATACAGAACGTTTTCTCCCGCATTGATCTCCTGGTTGTGATGACCTCTGTCTGAGGCCCCTCTCCACACGTTAGGCATAATTACGTTAGGCTTGACTGAAAATAAAACTGCCAGAATCGTATTCCCCTTATACAACTCTATGCCGTGAGCGTGCTTTGAATATGGTCTTCCGGCCATAAGACCTTAAAAAAGGTATCAGAATGTCAGGAAAAGTCCAGAAAGGGGCAGCAAGGGGATGAAGAGTCCCCTGTGAGAAAAGGGTACAACATCGAAGGCCATTTGGCTTATAAAAGAGCTGAGCAGCAGGGCACAAGAGGATGTATGGTGTGGAAAAAGCCAGGAAAGGAGACATTTCCACCTGCACTGTCATGATGTCAGGGTCTCAAGTAGCCATTCCATAAATTCAACGGGGGGGAAGAGATGAAAGGGAGTCCCTTCTTACACAACAGAGGGTGTGGAAGTCACTTGTATGAGATGGAGTGATGGGCAGCATTCAAAGGGACTGGAAACATTTCTGTAGCTTGAGGCTGTATGGGGTTGCTAGTCCTCATGGCTCTGTGCTGCTTGCAGTCTCAGAGGCTGCCTGCCTGTGTGTACCCATGGCTGGGGGACCTGGGCGGCGCGATGCGGTCATGCTCATGCCGTGCTTGTGGGTTTCCTGTGGGCAGCGGGTTGGGCACTGTGAGGAAAGCGCCTGATTCAGCTTCCAGGAAGGAACTGGTGTGGTGACTGGGCGTCTGCCTTGTGGGGGTCGATGGGAGTGTGGGAGCCACTCACATTGCAGGGCGACCAGAGAGAGAGCGAGGGAGATGGTGGGGGAAGCCACTCGGCACCCTCTGTGCAGAAGGAAGGGGCGTGGCTGTGCAGCATCGCACCACCAGGAAGTGAAAAATTCCGGTTGGCACACGTGTCTTCGGCTCCCAAGCGCTACAAGCATTCGGATGGACACCTTCGCTCCCCTCTCTGTGGCTGAATCTCTCCAGGGCAGGCCTGGGGGGACTATTAGCCCCCGCCCCCCATTATTGGCACACGTGGCCAGCGGAGGCGCATGTGTTTGCTTCGCTAGCTATGGGATGGCCAGACAGCGAGATGTTCCTCGTGCTGACATGCGCCTTTTAGAGGCTGCCCCAGGTCTGTTCCTCGTTGGCCAAGGAATAGCAGCAATTTTTCCTCTCTCTCCCTCTCCCTCTCTCTCATGGAAAGCACGTCTGCTGCCACTGTGCCATGAGACTCTTCCTCATCCTCATCGCTCCATCGCAGACTCAGAACTGCAACAAAATGTTGCAGCGCATCTTCACCCATTAACAGAAATGCACCTGTCTAACCATCCAGCCACAGTCCTCTAGGATGCTAGAAGCTGTAACAGGTTCCTGGGCTATTTCACCTTCCTCTTTCCTCATTCTCTCCCCATGTTTTTTTTTTTTTTTTTTTGTATGGCACTCGGCATCCCACTGCCAGGCATTAAGCATAAAGCCTTCTCGGCCCTGTTTTTTTCCAGGCCCGGGAAATCCTTGTCCCTTTCGCAGCTCTTCTCTTTGTCCTCTCGCCTCCGGTGCACTGGTCCCGTTGGCATAAGATCGCTGCATGTGCTGTTAGAAGGAAAGATGTCAGCTTGGTATATTGCATGACCCGCCGACTTCACGAGGCCCGCATTTGGCACTCCTGCTCCAAATCTTGGCTGTGCTCTGATTTTTCTGTGCGGGATGAGTAGCTCGTCGGCCCCTGTGAACCGCTGTGTGTGGTTTGCTTTCCCGGTCCCTCAACTGGCGGGATCTGAGAGCAGATGCTAACGCTTCAGAGGTGCTCTTCTTACTCCTAAGGAGCCCACCTTCGCTGCTTCAGGAGAGGCGATGCCTCTCCATCTGTTTGGCCCCTCTTTTTGTTGTTTCCTGCTCTTGCCAGGAAACCCCCCAGATTCCCAGGTTGCTCGGAGCGGTTCAGTGGGGCTTTTTGTCTTGGTTGTGGGGAGAGAAATGCGGAAAACCGTCCTCGCGGCTCCTTTTGGCCGGCACCCAAGCCTCGCTTCTCCGTTAGCAATTTGGAGCTGCTCTTCTGGCAGCTGCTGTCTCAGGATAACAGGTTTTTTGTTTCGAAGTTGGCTTGGAACATCCACCCGGGCCGTCCCTGGCACATGCGTCCGACCTGGTTCTCGTCAAGGAAGGCGGAGAAGCTGCGTGGAGGCAGACGGTCTTGCCCTGGGGAGCAAAAGCTTCAGTGGCAACGCTTGTGCTGTGCGGGCTTTTGTCAAGAGGCCGGACCTGGAAGCGTTTATAGAGCGTGCCAGACTCACCACATGTGCTGCCCCTGTCCTATCGCCGACCAGGAGCATCTTCATTGGTGGGATGAGCTTCCTTTCACAGCACCCTGGCCAAATTCCCGCCTGACTTCATTCAGGTTGGAGGCTGAAGCCAGGGCTGAGTTAAAAGCACTCACACAAGAGGAAACGGATTTATTTGAATTGGACAGGGAAGCAAATGAAGCGGGGGGTAAAGTATCGCCTTGCGCCTCAGCTCGTTGGTCTGTCTGTTTCTTCATTCACACAGTTTGAGTCACTTCACTTATGTACAGCCTATCGATCAAGCCAACAGTAAAACTGTGTCTTTGTTTACACCAGCAAAGGGAGCTGCTCCATGGGTTTAGTTTCTTCCTGGAGGCCACCAATCCGCCTGGAGTCAGATCCATGCCATGTGAAGACATTCTGCTGGAAGGAAATGTTTTTGTTGCTGGTTTGGGCCCCCCGAAACCTCCTTACGGACCCTCCCTTTGCTCTTTGGCGGCTTGCTAGCTCTTGCATCCATGGCTTGTTTAAGGAGACGTCTGAACCCGGAATGCTGGCTTGTTGGGGAGAGACTCGTTCTGGGTTCGGACATTACGCCAGACCTAGGGGCAGAGCAACAGGAGCTGTGTGAACGCGCACACGGGCAAATAGCTACATGCAGGGGAGCGATTTCCATGGGATTTTTCTAGGGGGGTTAAACCTGCCACAAAACAATCTCTTCCCAGCAGGATGGAACTGTCCAGAAGCGATCCGTAGTAGGTGGAAATGACAGAGCGGCAGTCGATGATCAGCACCCTGGCTTGTTCAGGACAACACAGCTGATAAAGGCTGAGGTCTCAGCTGTCAGTCCAAACACATCTTTCAGCCCATCTTCAGAAACATGAGGACTAGAAACTTGGCAGGGAATTGGGATTCAGAGGAAGCTATCACATTTTGTGTTTCCGTAGAAACATAACCTGCATCCAGTCCTGGCTGTGAAGGCCAGTGTGTCTATTTGGCATAATTCTATTTACCCTTTTTAGGAGGTAGGGTGACAGCTTCCATCCACTGTTCCCAGATCTCTGGAATCCCTGCTGAACACACCATCACAGTAGTATGTATGTATGTATGTATGTATGTATGTATGTATGTATGTATTTGGGGTATTTCTAGGCCATCCAATTGCACTGAGTCTCTGGATGGCTCACAACAAGATAGTCTTCCAGAAATTTACTGGGCACTGCCCGCATCCTTTAAGGCATCGTCTAACCTAAAGGGCTAGAAATATTTTAAATTAAAATGCAGAGCTTCCCAGAATTCTAAAATGGTAGATTTCAGCACCACAGTTACACACTCCTGGAATTCTCGCAGCCCAAATGTTATGACTATATTGCAGCAATGATAATTAGAATTACAGAAACAGGGTTTAATTCCCTCTGCCTCTTTTCATCTTACCTCTATTGATGATGATTTCTTTCTGGTTAAAATTTAGGTAGAAAGCGTATATGTGTGTGTGAGAGAGAGAGCGCAAACGAACGCACTTCTAAAATGCATATGCCACCATATAAATAATACATTCTGTTGCCATTCTCTCTATTTTTGATTTCTTGGCTCTGAGGGCTGTTCTGGCAGAGTGCCATCCCTGCACAAGAGCAAAGTATCATTAGGCTTGGGCGAGCCATGAGGTTAGCTGAGCCCTGAAACCATTTAGAAAAAAGGACCTTACGGGGTGAAAAACCTCAAAAACAGGCTAATGAGCCCCAGGATCCTGGACAGACAAGTTCCATGCATTGCGGTGTCGTCGGGTGTCCTTGCAACAGGCAGGCCACGATACAAACATGCTTAAGAAATCATAACACTGTCAAATATTTGCTTTGTTTTAACTGGCTTCTTGTCTTTCCTCTCCCCTTCCTCTCCCTTTTCTCTCCCTCCCTCTCCCATTGTTTTAGCGTGATCAATAAATCTGGCGTGAACCGAGTCGTATGGAAGAGGCCTTGCCTGACACACAACGGCCCCGTGCGGCGAAGCACCGTGATCGATCAGATTCCGTTCCTGGCGGTGGCTCGCGCCCTCGGTGAGTACCGGCCTGCCGGACAAAGGATGCGACGCTGGGGGAGGCAGTTGGACTTGGCTGCCGGGCTGTGATTTATGCGAGGTTGTCGCCCTTTTGCAAACTGGAGGGAGGCTGCATTCCAAGGGGAAGGAGGCAGCCGCAAGCGGGTGCTGTCGATGCGGCGCTAACACGAGCGTAAGCCAACGCCTGCGCTACGGCGACGGCGCTTCCAAGCACTGGGTTTCCTGGGAAATCCCGTGCATTAGCCTGTATGACTAACATTATAAAGCGTTCGTTCGCACCAGCGTCGTGTCAGTGCGTCTACGTGCTGGATTCTTCCCCACGGCTCGTAAGTCCTTCGCCTTTCCCCATTGGAGCAAGCAGGAATTATTTGTTTACGTGCAAATAGAGTGTGGTTCGAAGTGGAGGGCAAATGGTTTTGATTTTGGAGGGCAAGTGATAGTTTGTCCAGTCCAGACATGGGGGCAAACTGAGGCTTCCACAAGTTGTGAGCTAGACGTGAAGTTGTGCCTAGCCTGGCTGAGCTAGGACGTGGGCCTCCTTTGGACAAAAGCAGGGCCTCATCCGGGGTGGCACCACAGCTCTGGAATACCCCCCCCCCCCCCCGGATGCTTATCCATCACCAATGAAAAACCTCCTTTTATCAGTAGCTTAATTTTTATTGCTGCATGCCTTCTGCTGGTTTTTAGGCTACTGCTTTTGGGGTGCGTTGTTGCGTTCTGTTCTTTTCTCAAAACAAAAACCCGATCAGAACCCTGCCCTTTGTGCTGATTCATGTCATGCGCATGCTGTTACACGGATAAGATCTGGCAACACCGACCGGAAACGTGCATTCGCTTCCACTGGCAAGAGGGTGCCCTGAGTAGGGCTTGGCTTCGGATGCTCCTGGAAGTAGAACCGAAAGAGGCGGCTCCCCTTAATTTCCCCTATCTCTCTGCTCTTCATGGGCCCCCCAAATCTGTAAGCCCTACTTCGCGCGTTTGTGCTTCACCTCCATTTATGGGGTGACTCTCCTCTACGTGGCACTTACTAGATTGGTCTGCTGGCTGGGGTTGATGGAGGTTGTCGATCAACACATCTGAAAGGGGCTGGGCTGCAGAAGGTGCTCTTGGCGGTTTCAGGGGAACGGGGGGTGCTGGGGCGGTGGCACGAGCCAGAGCCGCCCAGTTTGTCTCGTCCCCGTTAGAATCAGCTAAAAGGAGTCGTGTGGCTTGATTAATGCATGGAGGAAAAACAGAATTGTGGTGGCTTGTGCATCCTCCATCTTCAGGAGCAGTCTGCCTTTGAATACGAATTGCCAGGAGGGGATTTTGGGTGGGACCCACTTGGAATACTGACCATCCATGGGGTGCCTTCCCGATTTCCCAGAAGTCAGAGCGGTGTGGCCCAGGGACGGGTATTCTGCCTGAGAAAGCAAATACGTGGGTCTGAGCCCCAAATACTGTTCTGCTCCACGTGGGGCTCAGGGTCATTATCGGAAATAACAAATGGCATCAGAGGCCTCCATCGGTCTGGTCTCACAGCAAACTTACGATGGTGTTTAAAAAGGTAAAGAGAAGGACTTGAAAGGGGCGGGATGCCAGGAATGGCGACCATGCCGGAGAGCCTCGATCTGCAGGCTTCCCCCTCGCTCGTGGCGCATATCCCGGGCACAGCCTCTGCCATGGCGGGGGTGGAACGCCTCCTCTCACATGTGCCTTAGAAGCCCCTTTTCCCCCACGAGTCGCTCCGTGCGCCCTCCCCCACAACAGACCCGCACATAACCTTCCTCGTGGGGTGCCCCGCGCCAGTCGCGGGGGCTGTGTGCGTGCCCACAGGAGAGCGCTTTCATGGGCAGGGGGCACGTCGGACACGGCGAGGCGGGTCTCCCCGCGCATGGTTTCGGAACGCCATTGTCAGAAGTGGGCAAAGCAAGAAATGGCTCCCCCCCCCATGCCTATTGTAAGGAAATGAAAGCCAGATGGACACTAGCAGATGGCTAGTGTTTTAATTATACACTTTGTCGAGTTGAGTTAACCCTTCCCTCCCCTTGCCTCCCCTCCCTGCCAGTTTGCCGTTGGGATCGCGAAACACAGGGCCGCCGTGAGTGCCTGGGAATCAGGAATCCCTCTTGGGTTCTGGTCAGAGCCGCTGGTCCCCAATTAGCATGGAGCCAAAGGGTTTGTGCGTGCTTCCCAAAGTGGTTTGTTCCTGGCCAAACGAGCTTTGGCTTTCCAGCGGCATTTCCTCCCTGCCCCCCCCCCCAGCCTTTAGTGAAAGCGTTTGCAAAGAGGGTGCTGTGCCTGATGTCTCCGGTGTGGAGGGGGTGAGAGCGGGGTCTGTATGAAGGGAACTGGAACAGGAGTACCTTTAATCTGTGTCAGGATTGCAGGAGCTGCCTTGCTTGTTTGTTTTCTGCTGGAACCCCAAAGTCCACCCAGAATTGGTAGGTGGAAAATGGCAGCTGCAGGCGGAGGTACCGGTTCCCTCCTGTTTTCCTCAAATCACGTACTCAGCTGACTTGCTTAGGCAAGCACAAATCTGCCTCGACATCAAGCAAATGCGTGGAGGCAGGCAAGCCCAGTGGTGTGACTTGCGCCCATTTTACAGGTGGAACGGCTGTGGGTGAGTGGCGGTAGCTTGTGGAAGCTCACCCAGTGGTTTGGTTGCTTGTGCCTGTGCACCTCCTCCGTGGAGAAGATACGGAATTGTGTCGAAGTTGGCGCCAGTTGTGCAAGCCAGTGGCTGCATCGCCAGTTGTGCAAGCCAGTTTGCTGGTAAAAATGAAGTTGTGTGCGCTTGTTCTGTTCGGGCTTTCTGCAAATGCAAAAGCAGGTGTGGACTGGGCAGCCGTTGCAGGGAGTCTGTGGTTTTTCCTCTGCTCCCTCACACCCAGAGGTCTGAGGGCCAGATTTTGTCATTGCTGGAATTCTGTACCTTGGCGGTATTGCTTCAAGCTGTTGGAAGGCTTGGGATGCACCTGGATGAAAACTTCTCTGGCTCCACACCTTGCCTCCAGCACAGACCTGCATGGCGGGAGGGAGGCATTTAGACGACTGCGTTTTCCACTCATTTTCTCCCAGGCATTTTCTCCCTTTGCATCTTCCCCCTTTTCTTCTATTTCTAAACAAAGGCAGTTAAGGAAGAAAAGGAGAGGTGAGCCAGCAATACCTTCTGATTGTTCTCACCTGACTCCCTCTGCCTTATAGGATCCTTAAGGTTTCTTAATGCAAATGTAACACAGAAATCTGCTCTTTTGATTGATGTATTAATTTTTATTGCACATCGTTAGCTGCTTTGGAAAGGACCCTTCCCCGAAAGTTGGCTTGCGGCGGTTTTGAAGGCGTACATGTCGAGGAGGCATCTGGGTGAAAACCTGGCCATGCTAGTTTTCAACATGGAGGCAGATGTGTGGTTCCATTATTTTTGTACAGAGGGGTATCTGTTCAGGGAGTTTCCACCTGAATGTGGTACAGCCCAGTCACTAGCTTGCCCCTTCGGTGAGGATTTGGCTCTCGCCGAATGTCTGAAATTCATCCCTGCCTGGGCCGACTCCCAGAATTTAGAAAAGGGGGTTTCTGTACTCAGATTGTCTCTCTGTCTCTCTGATCAAGGCTAGCGCATGCCATTTCTTGGAGCCGTTTCCTCCCTCCCACTCTCCTGCCCAAAATTGCCTTTTCCCTTCCTATCAGTGGAAACTCGGGAATATAATCGAAAGCAGCATGTGCGGCCAGCTGCGGGGATTTGGACTCGTGGTGCTGAATTTATGTGCTTCTCCCGTCCACACACGTGGAGCTGTTTACCTTGCCGGAAATAACTCCCATTCCCCCACCCCCCCTTCCTCCCCATCCAGGGGCCTCCTGGATTTGGAGTGTGTACTACTTCTCATTCAGCAGCTTAGAGATTCTTTTTCCCGCTGTTGTACAAGAAGCAAGAAGAGCTGTGTTGACTGTCGCACCCACTTTCTTCAGCCTCGCTTTCCCTCCGTCCATCCTTCTTTCTCTCTTATTGCTCACACGGAGCCCCAGCGCCTGTGAGAAATTACGTATTTACCGCTTTTTTTATCCTGTTCTTCCGTTGATGCCATCTGCCTCCATGAAGATTAGGCAGGAAAAAAAGAGAGAGAGAATGAGAAGTCCACAGATATCTAGTAAGCTTTATAGCTGAATGGGGATTTGAACTCGGGACTCGTTAGTCATAGTTGCTGCTCTTACCCGCTACACCACACTGGCTTTCTTCCGCGCAATCTCATGCTCCCATGAGAACGGGGATGCTCCCACCTGCATCCCATTTGCACAATCTTTCTCTTTTAGCAAAATCTACCTTTCACATCATAGCAGGGGCAAGAGAGGGCTTTTTCTGGGTTGGCCTCCAAGCTGTAGAACTCTCTACCGAGGGGAGCTACATTGGCTGCCCCTCCGCGTTCCTGTTGCGGAAAAAACGTTTTTATTCAGCCACAAAAGCTAGATTTGTTGCCGAAGGGCATCTAAAAAGCTGACAGGTGCTTTAATTGCACCAGTGCTTTTGACCGAGTCTTTAAAAAAAAAAGTGCTCCTAGATTTCTTGTTTTTATGCTGTGTTAAACCAAGACCTTGTGTTTAACCTGCCTTGAATTTGGGCAGAAAGGGTGGATGGAAATCAAGCGGGCAGCCCTCTCGCTCCGGCTTTGCCTCCTCTTGCGGCTGACTTCAGCTGGCGGCGTCCTGCATCCCTCGGGGAGGTGGGACGAGCCTCTCCTGGCTTGGCTGCCCTTGTGCACACACAACGGTCCCTGCATGCCTTGTGTGCTGATCGCACACGGTGCCTTTATGTGTGCAGCGGTGCAGCCCAAGCACACATTTCCTTTGTCCCCGCACAGAAGACGGGCACGAGAGAGGCAAAACCAGCGCAGTCGTGGCCAGCCGTGCCCGGTCCTTCTGCACGTGACGTGGAAAAGGGCCACCGCTTGTGCCCAAAGCAGGATTGCAAGCCACGATTTGGAACGCGGGTTGCGCACGTACTTGGCCCCTGCGAACCTCGAGGGGCTGGAACCGTGACCCCACAGGGCGATGGTGGAATGGGGGGCCACGCCTGCTGGCCGTGCCCCCAGCATCCGCACACGAATTGGGCAGGGGGCTGGCATGCAGGTTTGTTGTAAGCTGCCCCGAGGCTTCGGCGAACGGGGCGGCATAAAAATTTTTAATAAATAAAATAAATAAATAAATCTTCCCCGTCGCACCTTCTTCCTGGCCTGAGGGATGGTTTAGATGGGGGATCTTCTTGGAGGGGGCAGTCCAGAGCCAGGGAGAAGGACTCGGCACCGTTGCCTCTCTCGCCCCACCGTCCTGTCCACTTGCGCGACCGGATCGATCGCGCAGCGACGCATCGCGTTCCTGCGCCAGGGCAGCTTGGGGTTGGCGGAGTGTGAGCGGCGTGCCCTGGCCCGGGGAACCCTATCAAGTGTGTGTGTCCGCACTGCCAAAACGACAGCCAGGGTGACTCATTTGTGTCAACAGAGCGATGTCGTCACGAGCGAGGCATCTGTCGCTCACACGCTTTGCCAGGACAGGCTGACTTCGAGCTCGGGGACCCGTTGCTTGTTTATTAGAGCCCACGAGGTCTGCCAGCAGGAGGAAAAGACAGGCCGTTGACATGAAACCATTCCAAGCGCAGGAATTTCTCCTGGGAAGGGATGCAGCCCGGGGTGTCCTGCCTTCCCCAGGCATTCTTCGTTTTGAGAGTATTACCTGGAGCTGTTGGGGCCAGTTTTGGAAGCCCCTGGGCATGGCTCCTTCCACGGACCACTCCCCCAGTGTGCCGGCTTTCTCACCACCATGGTCACCCACAACTCCCATCATCCCCCACCAATTGGGGGGCGCCAGCGTGGGGAAGGCTGCTTTGGAAGCTGTGCCCCAGTCCCTTCTAACCCTCCCTGTCTTTTTAAGTCCTTCGTAACCCGGCCTGGCTCACCGATCTTCAACCTGCTTTCTGCCGGCCCTGCTTGTCTTTCCTGAGCCATAAAACAGCCTCCCAGAATTTGGTACCCTCCAGGATGTTCTGGACTACACCTTGCATTCTCCTTGAGCAGTGGCCGTGCTGGCCAGAGCTGCTGGGAGTTGTAGTCCAGAAGAGCACCAGGTTGGGGAAGTCTGCTCCAGACCAAAGGGGACTTCTTTGGCATGAGCTCTCTCTCTCTCTCCTTGTATTTCTTTTTCTTTCCTTCCCTAGTGGGATTTAAGCTCTTCCAATCCTCCCACAGAAGGCAATTAAAATGAGATGCTCTTGCCTGCCTCCCATTCTCCAGATGAGGTCCTCCAGTAAAGTAGCAGGTGGAAACTTAATTGCAGGTGGAGAGGCTTATGAATTCTCCAGTCGTGTCCCAAACCACACCTTGACAGGTTGTGTAACCTGTTATGCATGTCACTCCCTCTAGTAATGATTGCAGGCAGGTGAGTGCCAACTCTTTTTGAGAGCTAATGCGGCGTCTACGCACCAAAAAGACTGGCACTGAAACAGGGCACGGAGAAACTGGAGGGAGGTCTTGGCCGTAAAACAGTTGCTAAAATAACCGAAAATGCATGGACCCGGTTGCAGCTGGGTTGCGATGCTTTTTGTCTGTCCCAAAGTGGGGTTGGTTTCTTTTCATGAGAGGTGCCACTCCTTGCAAGTTGAGAAGGAAGAGAGGCCTACAGCTTCCAGCCGGCCCCAAACACCTGCAGCTTCTCCCTGTTCAAGCCTGACCCCCGTCGGCAATGTTTGTCCAGCATTTTTAGAAGTCTTTAAAAGTATGTGGTTCTTTGAGTGCTAACATTTGTATGGAAAGTACATGGTTCATTCCTCCTCTCTTACTTCCCTCTGGTTTCAGTAGGACAGGAAACAATCTCTCTGGATGGCCCTTTGTCTCTTAGAGGAAGGCATAGCTGATGGGAAGGGACCCACACAAGGTGGTCCTGGCTAGGAGAGGGGATATGCCGCAGCCACCTGTTGTAGATGCCCTCACACCCGTGTGCGTCTTTGTGGGTGGATCTGCCGCCCTTCGTTCGAAAAGATTTGTCAGTGTCATTGCTGTGGCTAAGAAATGTGGTACCCTACCTGGAACAGAGCTCGGCAGTGGGATGCTTTGAGAGCCCAAGGCCGTGACGCAGTTAACCCTTGGAGCGAGATTGTATAAGCAATCCAGACCTTTCAGTTTACTTTTTATTTTTATTTAAAACTTTTCTATACCGTCCACCACCAAATAGTCTTGGGACGGCCTTACAACAGAACAAACTAAAGCACAGCCTCAATTCTGTGCAACAACACCCCAATGAAAACCACAATCTAAACCTTGGTTGTAGTTGGCAGTGCCCGTGAATTGTTCTTTCACTGTTTGCTCTCTGTGTGGATGCAGGAGTGTTTTTAAATCCTCTTTTTGTGCAGGTTTGCCACAGAAGCGGGAAGCAACCATGCCCAAACAGTTCGGCTCCAGGGTGTGGTGCTAACTTGGTGGCAATCCTTCCTTGTGTGACTGGGGGTAGGGGATAGGGCGTGCGGAAAACACATGCAAATATTTTCGCAGATTTGTGGAACCCCAGCTTGCAGCTGTCTTCTGGGGCATTTCAGCTGCTTGATGCTTGCTCATGGCCCGATCTGAATGAATGAGGAAGGACAGGGCTCGGGGCCATGAAGGAGGAGATTATCTCACACCGGCATCCTAGCATTAGATAAGACGCTGCAGTATCCTGTTGCAGCCAAAATGATGTTCAGCAGAGGGTGAAAGACTCACTCCTTGTCTTATTGCCGCGTAAGCTTTTGTGGGCTGAAGCTCTTCCTCGCTGGAGGCGCGGAATGGTGCCCTTGCTTCTCTGGAAACACGGGACAGAAAGCAGAATCGGTAGATGTGGGATTATAAAACTTGACCTAGAACAATCCCTGTGTCTTGATCCCTGGACATGTTGGACTTGCTGTCCAAATTGGGTCTGACCCAGCGCAGACGCTGTGCAGAAACATTTCGCGAGGGTTGCAGCTCAGCATTTGCAACAGCGTCAGATAAGTGTGGATTTCTTTGAATCTCTGGACTGGGTAATCTGTTATGCATGGAGGTTTCCTGATTTCCCATGGATTACTTGGCCTTGCAGATGGGTTTTCTTTACTTTCCAGAATTTTTCCTGACCTTCGTCATTGAAAAATACATTTAAAAAACACTGGGTGAGGTGAAAATGGGCATTTCCCTCATGTTAAACATGAGGGATGGGGTGGGGTGGAAAGATTTGGGAAGGGCTTGAGCAGTTGCCGAAGTGCAATTTTGTGCTAGCGTGAACAGACGCACGTTCAAGAAATGGGAAAAAGTGGGTTCTGATCATTGTTGGATGGTGGAATGAAAGCAAAATGCTGACGGATCCTTATACCAAAGTCCCCACGTCCCTCGAAAGAGTTAATGGCTTCCCAGGGCACCGGGACTGAAAGGTCGCATTTGATGAGGCCGAGCTTTTAACTGTCCGTGTTGCTTCCTGCACCCTTCTCGATCCAGGAGACCTGTGGAGCTACGACTTCTACACTGGGGAGTTCGTCGTGTCCCCCGAGCCCGACACAAGCGTGCACACGCTGGACCCTCAGAAGCACAAATACATCATCCTGGGTAGCGATGGATTGTGGAACATGATCCCGCCTCAAGAAGCCGTTTCCATGTGCCAGGACCACGAAGAGAAGAAGTATTTTATGGTGAGCTTGAACGGAACGGTTCTCTGGGTTAGATGCACGTGTGCGGACACGGCAGGATGAGCCGTGCTCAGAGAAGGAGCTGTCATTAACCGGGAGGGAGGGCACGGAACCCCTTTCCGGCCAAATTCCATTTCAGAAATGGCCTCTCGGGCATGAGCTTGGCTGAAGGGAAAGTATGAAGACCCCAAATTCTGGTACATTTAAGCCCAAGACTCTTGCTGCCGTTAAGGAAGCCTTGGCAACAGCGTCTCCCAAGGGCTCCTCCAAACTTCTGCATCGACCTTTGGCCTCTGGAGGCCAGGCAGGTGCCAACCTTGCATTTTGTCTGGTTCTTCCTGAAGGCATCGTTATTTCAAGAAGCCTTCCTTGGTTGGCCAGCCACTCCATTAAAATGTGCATGCTTTGATATAGTTTTTTTATTTTTGTAAGGAAAATTAACACATTTCCCTTTTTGCATCACAAATCAATTGGTACGCTGTAAAGCAGTAAATAAAAGCTGCAAGTAAATACTGAAATAAACTTTCTCAATGGTGCATGTAAACAGCTGTTGGTTACAATAAATCGGTTGTAACCTGGGACACCACAGAGGGGCACAAGCTAAGCTTTGTTTCTGAAGTATAGTTTGGCAGGCGCTCTGGACCTGTCCCCCTCCAGGTGCTTTGGCTGAGCTGCCTGCCGTGTTCACCAGTGCTCATGCCAGCAGGGGCTGACGGGCAGTGAAGTCCAAGACTTCTTGAAGGCACCGAGTTCTAGAAAGACGAGTTGAGACGTGTGTAGAAGGCAGGGAGGGGAGTCCTCTTAACGCTGAACTATGCTGAGTTTCTAAAAAATCTTCATTGTGCTTTAAATTGCTGTACGCTGCCTTGATGGCTTTTCAGCAGGTGGTTGTTGTTAGTTGTGAAGTCGTGTCTGACCCATCGCGACCTCATGTACAACACTCCTCCCGGCCTTCCTGTCCTCCACCTTCCCCCAGAGTCCACCCAAGCTCACGCCGACTACTTCAGTGACCCCATCCAGCCACCTCATTCTCTGCCGCCCCCTTCTTCTTTTGCCATCTATTCTTCCCAGCATTAGATTCTTCTCCAGGGAGTCCTTCCTTCTCATTAGGTGGCCAAAGCATTTGAGTTTCATCTTCAGTATCTGGCCTTCTAAAGAGCAGTCAGGGTTGATCTCCTCTAGGATTCAGCAGGTAAGTCCATGTATAAATGTTACACGGCAGCTTAACAAAGGGTAGAAAAGCCCGGGAAGATTCAGATGACCGGAATGCAGGCCGGAAAACCAGGAGGGCCGGGTGTGGCCTGCAGGCCTGGCAGTCCAGCCCCCCTTCCCTGCTACAGGATGGCTGATTTTCCCCCCCCCTCTCTTCTTGTTCCCGTGAAACTGAAGGGTGAGCATCAACAGTCTTTGGCCAAGATGCTGGTGAACCGGGCCCTGGGCCGGTGGAGGCAGCGCATGCTCCGGGCGGATAATACCAGTGCCATCGTGATCAGCCTGTCCTCGGGCCGGAGCAGCCGAAGTAGCCCGGACAGCGAGGAGGAGCTCTGCTTCAACCTGGCGGAGGGTCCGGCCTACAGCAGCCCCGAGATGTGGGCAACAACGCCGTCGCGCTGCTCCACCCCACCCGTCAAGGTAAAACCCGCGTCCACGAGGGTCCTTGTACTGCTGTTGCCACCTCGGTGCGCAGCGGCTCAAACGGGGGCTGCATCTGGTCGCAGAGTTAAGGGAAAAGGTTATGCTAGCCCTCAGAGTGGTTACTACTTTCCTTGTAATATTTCTTATTATTAAAATTATATATATTAGATTTATATCCTACCTTTGTTCCTCTGGCAAGAAGCCCAGGGCAGTTCATAGGGCCTTGCTCCACGGAACAACTCTGTTTAGCTAGAGAGTCAGTGACTGGCCCATGGTCATTCAATGAACTTCATGGCCAAAAGAAGATGGGGTTCCCAAGTGTCTGAGTCCCAGTCCAGTGCTCTAACGGCTGCAGCGCACTCCTCAGTTTCAAAGCACCGTCTCTTTGCTTAAGAGAGCTTGGGAACAAAGACTCAGGGATGCTGCCTGTCTGCCCCCCACCCACCCTTCCAGGCTTGGAGGGACCAGTTTTACATTAATCGGAGACATTCGGTATGGTGTTGTTCATGGAAATGATGACTACAACTTCTCAATCAGAAGAAGCATCCCTTTGCCTAGGAGGCATTGGAAACACATCATCAGGGATGCCCGCCTGTCCCATGATCTCCTTGGACAAGTCTACTCAGCAGGAGAGTTAGAATGAGACTGTTTTTTAAGTGTAGGGCAAGGACATATTTTTAATTCCTTCACTGTATTCTGTCCAAATTCCACTCTTTTCAGGCGAGGTACCGAGAAAAAAAGAATATGCAGGTTTCTGCTTCACGCACACTGATTGGCTTGACAAACACTGATTGGCTTGACCCCCACGCTTTACAAACACTGATTGGCTTGACCCCCATGATGGCACCGTGAAAGGCCTTGCCCCCAATATTGTGCCTAAAACACATTTCCTTTAACCAAAAAGAGGAAAGCCTCACACAGCTGCTGATGATAAACAGATAAACACATGACCTATGTTTGTGGGAGGAGCATGAGCAAGGCTGATGACTGAGCTAGCATTTTATTTGCTGCCAGGCATGTCTGTCATTCCCGGTGCCAAGCTGGAGGAAGTCAGGCTGGCACTATAGCTTGTGAAATAGTTGTGGGCTATTGAAACCAGCTAAGAAGAAAGAAACTTAAAACTATAGTTGTTTTGAAGTAGTTTTCCATCATAGTGCAAGTAAATGTTTTTGCTTGTTGTATCCCATGGGTGGCATCCCATCGAACTTAACACCCCATTCATTTCATTGGGTCTGCTCTAAATAGGGTTCACAGTGAGTAAAACCCCAATTGGTGTCAGGTGGATCTTCTGCAGAGATGAGGTGCCAGCACAGAGAAGGCCCTGTTCTTTTGTCGATGATGACCCTGCACCTTTTATGGATGGAGTAGAGAGACGGGCCTCTTTCTCTGATGCTCTTAAAGGAGGTGGATGTGAGAGGAGACCCACCTTTGTATATGTGGGTCTCCAGCCGTTTAGCTGAGGGGCGGCTGGCATAAAACTGCTCACTCACGAGTATTCATTCAAATTAGCAAAGCACAGAGGTTGCTGATTCCAAAGCCGGAGCTGGAATCGTGCCCCACTTTGGGGACACTGTTAGCCGAAGCCCCCTGGCTGAGGGTCCCAGTCTACCCACTGGAGCCCAGGGGGCAAGAATTCGTTCCGGATCTGCTGGTTCGTCTCCTGGTCAGGTGTCGCAGATCGCAAGGAAATTTGACTCCCAGCCCTGTATCCACAGCCCTGGCAGACTCTGTCCTCTGCGTCATAAATTATATTGATGAAATAACGAATAACAACAATTACTCCATCGCATTTATCTCCTGCTGTTTTTTCCTCTTGCAAGGAATCCAAGGCAGCTTACAGAGTCCTCCTCCTCCATTTTTACCTTCACAGCAACCCTGTGAGGTAGGCTTGGCTGAGAGCGAAGGCTAGGCCCAGAGTCACCCCATTTGTTCCATGTGCTTCTCCCCCATTCTCAGGCCATCCCTCCGCACACCTTCCCACATGCCTCCTGGCCTTTCCAAAGGGAGGAAAATTACCCCCGATTGCCCTTCAACTTCCCTTTGCAGCGGCAACCCTTGTTGAAGATTGTCGCCGTGTGGCAATAAAGCAGAGAGCAACACGCCCCAGGAAATCCATTCAGGGTCAGGGGCGCCAGTTTCTTCGCTCTCGTGCCTGGATGAGGAGACATTTATCTTCCTGTCCTCCAAGGCTGAGGGCGTTCAGATTGTCTGCTGCACCAGAGTGGAAGCAAGACCCTCCTTTAACTCGGTGCAGGCGGGCAGTCATTTAGAAGGCGGACGGAAACCTCCCCGCTATAAGTAGAGGTGCCATCTTTCCTTCCGCTTAGCAGCTTCCCAACATTTTGTCATCTGTTCCCAATTGTTCACGTTGGGGGGGAACATTGGCCCTGCATTCCCATCCGGCGGCTTTGTTTCCAGAGAAAAGACCCTCGCTCTATGCAGTATTCTCCCCGCCATTCCCCTGTTCGTTTCTGCGGGAACTTTTGCTGCCGCCGTGGGAGGGGAGCTTCTGGAAGTCCTTTGTGCCATCCTGTTATCAGAGGGGAGGGGAATCGCGCTCAGCGGGGTGTTCTGGAGCAGCCGGCAATTACCGCAGTGGGGCCTGAATTGCTCTTGCTCCCCCAGAGGCTTTTGAATAGCTGTCCTTTTGGCAAAACAAGATGGAAAAGCAAAGATTTGGATGAGGTATTTAATGCTCTGTGCAGATGCAGCTAATAAAGGGGACACTGGGTCTTCCCTCCCTCTGAGCGCTCCTTCTCCCTTCCGTTCCCTTTCGCGCTTCTTGCTTTCTTTCCCTCTCACCCTCTCTTCTGCCGACCTTTCTCTCTCTTTCCTCTCGTTCTCTGTCAGGCCTCTCTCTCACTGCTGCTCTCCTCGCGCGCCTTTCTTTCCTCTCCTTGCTCCCTCTGTTTTTTTTGCGGGGGAATCTGTCGTTCACTCCCCTCCGCTCTTCCCCACTCTCCTTTCTACCCTGCCTGCTCCAGCTTTGAACAATTGCAGGAGCCGGCGCGAACGTCCTCGGGAAAGACGATCAGGTGGTCACGTGTGCTTAGCCGCAGATTTGGAGGGGGATTAAGGCGGGCGTGTGGGGAAGAGAGCTGCCGAAAGACGCACTGCTGCACAGTGACGCTCGTTCGGGGAGCGCTTCCGTGGGCCCCCTCCCTCCGTCGGTTGGCCGTCCCACCACCGCTGTGGCCAGCCCCTCTCCATGCGCAGGTCGCAAGAGCATCCTCTGCTCCCGCATCCCACCCCTGCCCTCGTACAGGGGGAGAGGAAGGAGACCCAGCCGGTTGCAGGGATGGCGATCAGCAGTGAGCCCAGAGGAAGCATAGGAGCAGCACGAGTCAGAAGGGGCCTCCCGGGCCATCTAGTCTGACCCCCGGCTCCAGCCGGCTCCGCTCACGACATGCCCGCCGTGCGCATGTCCAGCCTATCCTTGAATGAGGACGGGAACCCGAGACGGGTGCCCATCCTCGCCTGCCTTTGGAGCCGGCTCCGAGGACCCCATGAGGTTGTCCTCCTTTCCTGCCAAAGGGCAAGGAACAGGATGGGGGGGGGCAGGTCCTGGTGTAGAGACGGCCGAGCCGAGCCCAGGAAGGGGCTTTTCGAGGAGGTGGACCAGGCCCCCTTGGCCATCAGAACGGGGCAGGCTTCCGCCCAGGCGAACTGGGGTGTGCGGCGCAAGAACAGGCAGCCAGGCAGCAATCTCGGGGAGGCCAGGTGAAAGAGAAGACGAGGAGGAACGGGAATGTTGCCCACTGGGGTTCCCGCAGCGGCTCGGGGCCGACCGGGAGTGTTGCTAGCAGGGGCGCGGACCACCTTCCGCCCAGGGGCCTGGTGCCGTTCCGGAAAAGCTCCCGGGACTGCGTTCTGATGGCCCACGTCGCTTCAGCAGGGGAACAGGCGGAGGGGTGTGGCAGAGGGACCGGGAAAGCACCCATGACGTGGGGAAGGGCTCAGTGTAGGGGCCTGAGGTGCAGCACCCGTTTGCACGTCCAGGCCCAGAGCCGGGGCGGGGAACCTCTAGCCTCTGGGTGTGGGGGGGTCCCGATCTGTTTTTCTGGGGTTTCTCCAGATGGCCTTGCCCCTTCCCTGCAACCACCAAGCATCAGGGGGCTTCCTGGCAGCCATTCATGCGGGGTTTTCCCCCCCACTTCATTCTAAAAACTTCCAGTACTCATCGGAAGGCTTGGGAATGGTCTGTAGGAGTTTTAAGGTTCAGTGGGCTGGTGTGTTTTGCATTTTGGCCGCCCCCTTTTATCCTTGGCCGCGCCTGCTGCTGTAACTCCCAGGGAGCTACCCGGAGAAGGAAAATTTCAGGTTGGACGGGCTTTGAGGCCACTGGCTTGGAAGGACTGAGGCGGAAGGAGCAGAGGGGGAGGAATGTTGCTCCCTGTCTCGGTGCTTCGGACCCCAAGTGAGCCCATGAAGCTGATGGGAGGGAGGTTTCGGGCAGAGAAGAAGAAGGACATCCCCACAGGGCAGGGAGTTTAGGTATGGGACTCGCTTCTGCAGGTCGGAGTGGCAGCCCCCGGTTTGGCTGGCTGGACAGATTCGTGGAAGATGGACACAAGTCCTGGAGGCTGCGTGCTTCTGTAACCAGATGCTCTTGCGTTTCTCTCCCGCTGGCGGGGGCCCTGTGGGCCTGTGCATGGCCAGAAGTCTGGCCGAGGTGGGCCCGTGGTCTGATCCAGCGCGTCTCGTCTGACTTTCCGCGTTCCCCCCCATGATGTGATAAAGATAAACGAAGCACATACATAAGAAGCCCCTCCTCTGAATCCCGCCTCTGCCCAGTTTTTCTCTCTCAGTGACAGCCTTCCTCTCATCTGCAGCACTGGGCCACCTAACAGGGTTGTCGCGCGACCCTTAAAGGGGCCTTTTGGGCGCTGGCAAAGCTGCAGGTCAGGCCTTCCGCGACTCCTGGCTGTCTGGAGGGGCTGGACCGTCTTCGGGATGGCGGGAGGCACCGCGCTGGGCGTATGCTAAGTATCGCGTTTCAGTACCCGCTGAGTAATTTGGTACCCTCTGTCCTCCAACAGAAAACCTGTGTGTGTAGGAGGAGGAGAGGCAGGCGGGCACGAGGCCAGCCATGGGGCAGCAGGAGGTGGGGCCTCGGAGCCGTGCACGTTATGACTCGGGGGCAGAGAGGAGGAGCGTGGCCCAGAGGAGAATAAATGCCGTGATAACACAGTCTGAGTGCCGTTGTGCGTTTTTGGGGGCTGCGAGCCCGGCTGCCCGGGCGGGACCTCCCCCTGCAAAGGGGAGACGGGGCGGCGTGCGGAGGAATGGAGGCCTGGGAGCAGCAGCTGGCGGGGAAGTGGTCCCCCCGCCCCGATGCAGCGCCCACGGCTGCCCTGTGTTGGCGGCAGGAGGGGGAAGGCCGAGCCGGGAGGGGAGACGGGGATCTTGGGCCCCACAGAATCAGAAAGTCCTAGACGGGGACCTCCTCATGCGGGGGCAAAGTCAAGGGAGCCAGTTGGGCTGGAACGCTCGGCTTTTTCTCCAGTCAGGGAACAAACCCAGCACTAAAGAGGAAAAGGAGCAGGCAGGCAGCCCTGTCCTGCCCAGCACTCTCCTCGTCTTTCTTGTTTGCTTTCATAATAATCTGTTATTACTATTACTATTAAAAGCCAGCCCAAGTCCTGCCCCCTCGTCTCTGCCAGGGAGGAAACCTCTGAATGGGAGCGAGCAATTATTTCCTGCTTCCTACCTGGCTCCTGCCACGATTGTGGCTTTTCATACCTGCTGATACTCCAAATAAATAAATATAAGAGCCACCCATCAGAAAGAAGCAACGTGCAGACAGCCAGGTACAAGTCGGTGGGAAAAGAACTTACTGATTTATTTATACATGCATTTATAGGCAGCTTATAACAGCCAAGCCCTTCCTGGTCGGCTTACAGGACATAACTTAAAAGAGGCTTCGGCGGCATGAGTAGAAACTGAAGTCCTTTTCTAAAAAGAAGCCGTGGAGCAAAAACACACAGGAAAGAACTTCCTTAGGCAAGGGAACTCGAACCCCACCACCAGCAGGTTCTTCTCGGAGGAGACGGTCCCCCAAGCATCCAGGTCCCCATCCGTGCAAGGCCACCAGGTCAAGAGGGCCCAGAACAGGCGAGGAGCCCAGCTGGCCGTTTCAGCCACGCGAGCTGAGCCATGGGTGCGCGATTTCGGGGCGTGTGCTGGAGCCCCTGCTGCGGGAGGAGCCGTTCTGCCGGCGGCAAGCCCTCCTGCCTTCTCAGCATTAGGCTCGCTCAGTCCCCATCCAGTCGGTTACCTGCTCTGGCCACGGTGCAGACTGCCAGCATTCCCCCAGGACGCCACAGGCAGGCAAGATCCGACTGAGCACTGGCACCCTGGGGAGGCACGGTCGGGCACTGCCCAGGGGCCCCTTGACCAGGCGCTCCCGGGGCGGCTCCGGCACCAGCTTTGTGGCCTTGTGCCTGGGCACCGGCAGTGGCGGTGCAGAGGAGGGGCGGCCGCGGCCTCTGGGTTCCCTGGGTGTCCAGCAAGCAGGTGACTGCAGTGGAGAGAAGGCAGATGAGGAGCAGTCGCCTCTGTCATGCTGGGAGGGGGTACTCGCACAGGGAGGGGGCTGAGGGGGTCTTTTCTGCACTGTAGAAGAGGGCCCCCGATAGGCTTCGAGGGCTGCTCCCCTCTGAAGAAAGGTGATGATGTTCGGAGAACGAGGGGGATGAAGAGTCACGGTGGGAGATGTGGGGGAGCCGGGGGGGGGCTTCCTTCACGCAGCCCGGGGACCTGCTGGAATCTGCCATCCCACGGAGCTGGGGCGGCCAGTGGCTTGGAGGACTGTGGATGGGGCAGGGCCCTTCATGGGGGAGGGAGGGAGGGTGACTCTGGCCTCAAAAGCCTTCACTGAACAGCAGGGGCGAGGAGCGAGCACTCCAGCACCCATGCCCCACAGGCTGGCATCTGAGCCCCTGCAAGGACGGACTAAACCCCCCCCACCTGGTTTGTTGGATTACAGCTCCCATCAGGCACAGCTCGCATGCCCATGGCCCGCGATGGGCCTTTCACCTGATATAGCAGGGCTTTTCTCCCATTCTTAATGGCCATCTGGAGCCATTTGAGGTCCCGGAGCAGGGAGACGGGCCTTGGCTAAGGAGAAACAGCTCTACCAGCCCAGCCACGAGTGCGCAGCTAAGCTGTCCTGGACCAGAAAGGGCCAAACAGCCAGAGCATCGGTTTTGTCACACGCCACTGGCTGCTGGGACATGTCGGTGCAGTTAGCTGCAGGTGAGAGGCCTGCTTTGAAGCTGTTTGCACTTGGTAAGAAAAGATGAAGAGTGCTTTGCTCGCATCTTGGCAGCAGCAGCTAAATCGGCAGTTGAACCGCTGCGATGCAGTGACGGGAGCACTGGACTGGGAGCTTGGACTCTGGAGAGCCAGGCTCGGGTCTCCACCGAGCCATGAAGCTCTCTGTGACGTTGGGCCAGCCACTCAGTTTCTGCCTAACGTACCTCGCAGGGTTGTTGTGAGGATCAGGTAGCAAATGGGAGGCTTACGGGGGCTGCTTTGGGTTCCTTGCAGGAAGAAAATAGCATCAGTCAGCATAGGACATAATCAGCAGCCAGCAGACTGGGCGGCACATGGACTTGGAAGGCTTTGGTACAGGAAGGAAGCTTTCCCCGGTGCTCAAAACGTGATGCTGTCACTGTCCAAATGCCGAAGGAGAGATCAGGGCACAAGACCTGCTTCCCGGTTGCTGCAGGACCACGGACTGCAGGTCGCGGCACAACCAGCTGCGTCACCTCAAATTGTTTAAGGATGGCACAGGCAGCTGCCGGATCACTTGGTCCCGAGCCACTCGAGGCTTTCTGTAGGAGCACAGACGTTAGACAGGTTGCTCCCAAGCCAGTCTCGGTGGTATTTCCAGTTGATAAAAGCCCCAAGCCACGTGTGACCAGCTGACCAGCAAGACCGGTCGCTTCCCCCTGTGTAGACCCGCTGGACCAGTGGGCGTCCCAGGTGTCTGCGCCACACAGTGCAGCGCTCCGTTTGGGGAGCAACACTACCCAGGGCCCTCCTTGCGGTGGCACCTCCCCCCGGACAGACCTCTCCTTTGCAGGACCTCCAGTGCTGGCCATCGTGGGCCTCTGACGGTGATCGCAAATGCAGCTTGTGTATCGTGGCTTTCCCCTGCCGTTCACCTGCCCGGGCTCCTGTGGTGTAGCGGCTGGAGTGCTGGATCGGCACCGTGGAGACCCAGGGTCGCCTTTGCACTTGGCCCGAAGCTCACTGGGTGAACACGAGCCAGTCACCGCTGCCCAGCCTGTCCCGTCTCGCGAGGAGGAGCGCCTTGCCTGCTGTCTTGGGTCCTTTGCAGCAGAAAGAAAGGCGGGCCATAAACGCGGTGTAACAATGCAATAAATAATCATGGAATAATAATAGACTAAGACACATGGTGTGCTTTTGCAATGATCCGTTGTTTTAGAATTGGCCCACCATGGCTTCTGGAATTTTTAAAACAGGAAGCAGTTTACAAATAAAGGCATCAGCGCCCTGCGTAGCGTGCAGAGGAACCCGGATTCACTTGGCAGCATCTTGGGGTGAGGCTAGGAGGTGCTGCACGAGATGGGTGAAGGGTCTGGCTGCATATGCAGCTACTTCCTCAGTGGCAAATCAATACAGATGAGAGACCTCGCCACTGCAAACCCTTCCGTAAGATTAGTCTTCAGCGATGACGGGACTGGGGACTTGGTGCAAACAGCCTTGCTTCCTAGGAGCACATTGGATATCTGTGTTTGTGGATAAACGGTGTCTTCTCTTTGATCCTGCCAGGTTTTCGAAGAGGACTTGTGGCCACGACTGAGCTCCCCCGAGACTGTTCCTTTACTCACACGTAGCCACGCAGTGTTGGGTAAAACCTCTGAGCTGCTCAGCAGCGAGGTGGCTGCGAAGGGCAGCGTCCAGTCGGCCACGGCGTCTCCCAGGGGGACACCGCCGCAGGAGGAGAGCTGCAGCAAAGCGCTGGGGCTGCGGGCCCGTGAATCGTGCGGCAGAACCCCCCCGGGGGCCCTTTTCCCCTCCAACGCTGGGAACGCGGGCACAGACCCGAAGGCCTTCAAGACGTCTCCGAGCGACCCGTCGAAAGCACAGGACCCCGAGCGGAATCCAGCGACGGCAAGCTTCAAAAGGACATTGGAAGAGTCCAATTCAGGACCAGTAGTCAAGAAATACCGGCGAGGGCCAACGCGGAACGTTGGAGCTCAGTCCGAGACCCTGTCTTCCACCCCCCAGCACAAAACTCCCAGCAAGCTTGCCATGCGTCGCAGCCTGCGTGGACAGAAGCAGCTGGGAAATCCATTGTTCCACCAGCCCCGGAAAGCACTGTGTGTTTGCTGAACTGATAGCTGGAAGAACGCCATCTTTCCTGCCCAGGTCAACGTTATGAAGTCTTGTTGCAGATACTCCGGAGTTGCAATTCTCCCTTTCCTGTTCATGTTTTATTTTTTAATTTTAAAACAAACGTAGAACACTTTTTTTTTGTTGGTATTTGAACAGCTTTATCTCAACTTTGTTGCTTGCTTGTAATATAACTGTGAATTTTGTAGACGTGGATGATACAGAATTTTCTGTAAAGAATGTGTGTAAATTTATATTCCTTCATACAAATGTAGTTTCCCCACCTAACTTTTCTCTCACGCAATTTTTACAACAGGGCTAAAAACAAACAACTCTCCACACACCTTTGAATTTAAATGATTAATTTTGTTCTTTGGAGTGGGGAGGCGGTTAATTTAGTACAAAGTGATGAATTTGTATAAACTTCTCGTGATGACCTTGCAACTTTTTAATGAAAGTAAATTATTAAACAGAATGGAAGATATGTATTTTCGTAGTACTTAATATGTTCTGCCTGGAGTGTGCCCTATTAGAGAATATAACACTAGGTCTATTTTCTTTCTTTCTGTCTTTCCTTCTTCCTGTCTTTCTTTCTTAACTTTTAGAATTCTCTATTCAGAAAAGAAATGTACACAGAAAGTATGTTGAGTCTTCTTCAAACCACTCAATGCTGATTTCTGTGTTTAATTAAAATACTATGCAGTACTTCTCTTGGCTTTATTTTGGGAGGGGGTAAGATCAAGGGCCAATATTTTAGCTCAGAAACAAAAATATGAGATTTCCTCCATCACTTCATAGGCCCCAGTTCTTTGGAACTGGTTTTTTGAGGTTTTCTCTTAGCAACACATTCGGGAATAATACACATTCCTTTCTACAAGCACGGGATATTTTACTATTTCAGCAATGGCTGGTGCTCTTGATGGTGACCTTTCCATCACGGGATCTTAAGTTATTGGGATGATTTTTCTAGTTTTCTTTGCATATGTGGACCATGTATACTTATAATGAAATAAAATTAGCCAAAACCCGTGGGACTTTCTGATTCTTTCTCTTGCCAATTCTTTCTTAGAACAAACATGCAAAATTGCATGCAAAGGTGGCATTGTGCCAAGTGTGTATCACAACACAACAGAACTCACCCACTGGCAGAGGAATTGAGTCTCTGTGTGTAGTGATGTTGGGACAGATCTAGAAATGTTGATCTGCAGGATCTCGGGTGAGAAGATGCCGCCACTAAATGCCCAATCAGTCACCTCTGGCTGTTTCTGGGTTTTAGGCTGCATTGTATTCAGCAATTTTTTTGTGTCTAATCAGCATCACACTGTCTAATTCAGTTAATTGTTGGTGGTACAATACAACTAATGTTTCTTTTAAACATAAGTTTTAGCAATGTCCAGTAGCAGCTTTGGGGAAGGAGGTTATTATATAGATTAATTTTGCACTGGGACAGGGTTTAATATCCACTGATGTACACTCTCTCTTAAATTATTGACCTGCTTCATGGAAACTAACCACCAGTCAGCATAAATGAATTCTCACACCTTTTTGACGCTGAAAGACTGTACAATATTGGAAGGAAACACACTGGACCTTGCAGTGTTTTTCACGAGTAGCATATAAGCTCCCCCCTTCAAATGGATAGTTGTTTGGAAATGCGATAGTTGCTTGGAAATACAAATCCGTTTATGAATGTCGGTATATTTAAAAGACATGTAAAAACTGCTGCAGTTGGAACTAGACAGTAAACCAGATTATTCAGATAGTGAATAATTATTGCCTCGCACTGCCAAAAGTAATCTTAAAATGATTTTTGTGCCTCTTGGCTGTGGCAGACAGAAGTTCAACAGGGGCAGACACGTACCTCGATTGCCTTTCAGAGTATCACGTAGAAGTAAAACCGCAGAAATGCAACTTTTACGGGCTTCCCTTATGCTTTGAAAGCATCTTAGTAACTTTGGGTTGGGTTGTTTTTCAAACAGGACTAACTACACAGGATTTTCTTTGAGTAGGAGTGTGCTCTGTCGGGGAGGAAGAATAGGGTTCTTGCATCTTGAATCCTCGGACAAGCAGTTCAACCGGTTTACCCGCTTGGGAAAGGACAGCGAGGAGCGGGCTGCCCCTGTTGAGTTCCTACCTATTGGGAAGGGCAGCTTACTATGCGGCTGGAGACGCTCTAGCCTGTAGCGTCTCTCTGGTTTCGAATATTCATCGGCTTCGGAAAGGATTTCGTAAGTCTACGGGAAAGTATAGGCCGGAAATGCCCCAATTATAGGCCCGGAAATGTCTACCCGCTTCCATCTCTATGGTCCCGGCCAGCGTCCTGCGTCTACGTCGCTGCGCCAGCCGCGCGCCGGCTTTCCTCGCCAAGTAGGAAAGAGGTAAACAACCGTCCCTGGGATCGTCAGTGGGCGTTGCTTTAGCGTGCCCGAAGCTCATTGGCCGGGCGCTGCCTCGAACCTTCTCCTAGGCCCGGATGTAAACAAAGCCTCCAGCCCAGGTGGGAATGATCAGAGTAGCTTCAACCTAACTTGCTCTTGAGCCGCTTGCGGAGGAGCAGGAAGGAGACGGGAGGAACTCTGAAGAGCGGTGGTGGCGCAACCGCTCACAGTGCCACCCTGACGTCCTCCTCCTCAGCTATTGGGCGACCGGACCCAACATGTCCCGCCTCCTCTGGCAGGTCATTGGCAGCTGGCGCCGTGGCCGGTGAGAGGCTCCTAAACATTGTCAGTGAGGGGGAAAAGCGAGACGCATCAATAGCGGCTGGTCCGGTGAGGCGCGTGCCGGGGCGGCCGTTGCGGGGGGGTGGGGCATGGAACGCCGAGCGCGAGCGGAGGGCGTGGCAGGTGGGTGGCGGCGCTGACGGGGGTAGTGGGCTGAGGGGGGGAGGGGTGGTGCTGAGGGAGGCCACCTGTGCATGATGGGAGCTGAATTCTGGCCGGGGGATGATGGGACCTGTGGTCCAGCGCAAGCCAGAAGTGTGCCAGGCTAAGGGGCGGGGGCTATGGCAGGTGAGATAACGGGGCGGGCGAGAAAGTCTGTTGGGAGTTGTTCGTGAGGGGATGATAGGAAGTGCTGAGTGAGGCCGTCTGGGGGGGGCTTTATATTGGGGGGGGGGGGGGAGACAAGCTCTAGCTCAGGCACCTTGGTAACTCTTGCTTGGGTAGAGGGTGGGTTGTTGAACCCGGGCTGTGGTCGAAGCCTGGGTTCAGACATCGTCCGAAGCGGTGCCCCAAGAAACCGTGGCTTGTCATAAGGCAGGAGGCCAGGATCTTATGTTGACCCTCCCAGAATGCGGGAAGTGGAATAGCAGGCTCCAGTCGCAGGAAGCCAGATTCTGGCTTGGTTTCAGGAAAAATGTCCTGATGGTTAGAGCGGTATGACAGTGGAGCCCATATCCTACGGTCCCATAACCTAGGGGCCGCGGGTGGCTGTCCGAGGTGCAGCCGGACAGCCATCCGAGAGCGGTGGTTTTGCTTGCACTGAGCAGAGGTTGGGTCCAGGGGCGCTCGGGCCTGTTCTCACACTACTATTCTAGATTTCTGTTTTTTTTGTTCATCATGCACCGTTCACAACCCAACCACAAACCATTGCTGTGTTTCAGTGACGTGAGTTACAGGGTGAGATTGAAGGAGGTGTGTGCGATACATGCAAATAGATCAAATTTGTGAACATTGGCGCACACTTATTTTTAGCATATGCAAATGTACCTGTATGTTTAAGGTGTGTTTGAATTCATGCATTTGTTCTTGTTAAGTCACCACACATACACACACTTCAGTAGCATATTTTTGTTTGCAAACTTTATACTTTGCTTTTCCAACAAATGTTTAGGGCAGCCTACAATCAAAATGAAAACAACAGATGAGTGGAAGTTTAGAAAGTTTAACAGAAACCATTGAATAAACCTTTCTGAAAGTAGCTGCAGCAGGAAAACGCAATGTAAAGATAGCCAAACGTGTGGAGGTGCATGTTTTATAAATGGGATTCAGATACACACAAAATATGTACTGTCTTTATGCTGCTGTCTGTATATATTTTAGGCTTATTTCTCGCTAAATCGGCCTGAAGGCCCTCTAAATGGATTACAGTCAATAAAACATGTAATAACAGTAAAAGCAACAATTAAAATACAATGAACAAAAGACAATAAAACAAGACAGCATGCAGCTGAGGGCTATTAATTTAAAACTGTACATATCAAACAACAAACAAGTTAAAATTGTCAGAATGATTATCAGAATTGTGTTGCTCCTACCTTTCTGCAGAGTCGTCTTTAGGTTATTATGTAGTTTCATGGATGTATACAATTTTATTCCATATTGGTTATCATGAATACTGGAACAGGTGGAGGGATGTGGTTGAAATTCTTGGTGTAGCAGCAAGATGTTCAGCTGCATTTTGGTCTAGCAAGAGATGGCAACAGCCTGTGTCTCTCTGTGGTCAGAGGGGTCACAACTCTGCCAGCTACAAGTTTTGGGGTCAGCAGGAGGTACTGTGCCTTCCTGCTGGCTAATGTGGAATATTTGTTTAAGGCATCTTGGGTTCGTTTGGCCACAGCTCTGGGTCTGCTGAAAATAACTAAGGGCACCATCTAGTGTGGCTGCCCATAACCCTCTGAACTTGGAGGATTATGGGCAGCCAGTGGAGGGGGGAAAGAGTGCCAAGGTGTGGATGGCCTCGGTTTACCTTCCACTTTCCAAAACACTTAGAAGGCCAGTTTCAGCCCTCTAAACATCTTGCGCTTGCTTGAAATGGGGAGAGGTTGAAGAGCCGCTTGGATATGATATCCTGGCATAGCCTGCCTCCTCCCTTCCGTGCCTCTTCGCTGCTGGCTCGGAATTTGGTCTTGCTCCCTTGGGGCTGCGGCCACTGGGGAAAGTTCCACATCAGCTACAAGGCTGGCAAGATGACTCTCCAAAGGTAGAGTTCCAGTTCCAACCTTGGAACACGCCAAAGCTGGAACTCTGACCACTCCTGTGGCCATTTGGGCAGTGTCTAGTGGCCATAGGATTCCACCTGAGAATATTTGAAATTAAAGTAAAATGGGAACAAGGGTTGATCTTCAGGGAAAGCATCTGGTTTCTCTCACGGAAGGGCATCCAAGCTTCAGGGCAGGCAAGGAGGGGTGAAACTGACGCATCAGCCTGGCAGGTCTTCCTTGGCCGGAGTGATGGGGAAGGCTTTGAGATGCGTGTTCCAGTCTGCATTTCATGCTTAAAGATCAATAGCAGCAGCTGCCCGTGTCAATGTGCTTACCTGTAGTAGCATGTTCACATTTCTGAGGTATGATAAGCCAGCTTGTTAGGGCCGCACTCCCTGAAAGGTGGGTTTAAGCTGTACTGACCTCAGCTGCTCAGGAAATAAAAAGACTGGGCTGTAGTCTGACCAGTTGCCCTGCCAGCTCCAAGAATGTGGCTATGTTGGTCCACTGCAGCAAAAATAAGGAAGGTTTCTGTGGCACCTTAAGACTAACCAATTATGCACGTGAATCAGTGATTTTTTTTTTTTTAAGCTGGGCATTCTCCAGAGGTTTTGGATAGCAAGTCAGGCGGGGTGAAATTTGTTGGATTCTTACTGGTGATGCTGGCTGGGGTTGATGGGACTTGTGTTTCTAAACAACTGAAAGGTTCTAGAGTGGGAAAGGGAAGCATAAGCTTTCATGAGTTTTAAGACAATAAGAGGCATCGTATTTGGTTTATCACACCCAAGGATGCAAAGGCCCCTTTCCTAAGTATCAAGCCAACTGTCCGGGGCCATTTGCTGAGTGCACCCCTCTTCCACATGGAAGACCAGATTGGCTTTTGAGAGCCATGGCAGGTTAAAGTAATACAAATGTAGTTTAAATTGGTACAGCAGATGTATACCTTTTCTCCCCCAATCCCCCTTTTTTCTCTTTCCTGTCTTGAGAAAGAAATGTTGGGGTGCCCCCTGTGCAGTTCACCTGGAGTAAGTTTGCAACCTTCCTGAGAGTTGCGGCTCGCTAGCAGAAGGCGAGGGTCCTCGAGCTTGCCCCTGGCCATGACTACATTGGCCCAACTAGCCAACTTTTTGGGGAGTGCGACCCCAGCAGAGCTCTCCCACTGCTTGAGAGCTGAGCGTTTTACCTGGACACCGCATGGGCCAAACCTGGGCCCACCTGGAGGCACAGCATGTGCTGTGTGGTTGACGCATGACAGCCACGAGTCTCACCAGGCTGTCGCATAGACTCTTTACAAGTAGCTCTTGTAGGAGGACGCTGCGTTCAGCTCCTTTTCCTTTCCATGCTTGTCTGAGGGAAAAGGAACTTATGCTAGAGCGAACATGCACTTGTGTGCACCAGCCAGCATGAGAAATGCCTCTCTAAAAGAGACTGGCCCCCTGACATTTTCGGTAGCCTCCCGGACTGTTTTCACCTATGCGAGTCGTGTATGCCATAAACGTTACAGCTGAGAAGTCTCTCCAGCTGTTTTGAAACTTCCCCTCCTGGTAGCTTGAAGGCCGTCCTTAAACACCAGAGCACTTACGCAAGGAGCTACTTACAAGCCAAATGTATTCACATGTCTAGGGATATGGAAGGTGCAAATTTAGGAACACAAGGAGCTGTCTCGGTTGGGATTTTCCGCACAGACCAGTCGCAGTGGCTCTCAAAGAATTAAGGCAGGAACTTTCCATCCCTGTATGGAGAAGCTGGGAATGGAACCTAAGACTTTCCGTGTGCAAAGCTAGTGGTCTACTGCTGAGCTGGGGCCCCTCTATGGTCGCACCTCCAGACTTGTATTTTAATATGTCTGTGCATGCAGGTGTGAATTTCGTGTTTTTGCTGGCAGTTATAGAAATGGGAACCATGGCACCAGGCCACACAGAACATCTCACTTGCATTGTCAGGTATTTTAATATGGAGTTGTGAAAACTGATAAGGAAAGGTTGCACCATTGACCTACGATAACTCGCCTCTCCAGGTCTGCCATGGACGTGTCATGAGGGGCGAGCTTCCTGTTTAAACAGTGCTACAGATAATCATAGGAGGAATGTCCTCTTTTTCACCAGAAGCTGTAAAATATTCTTTAAGGAGGACTATAAAAGTTTGCCTTCTGCCCACAGGCGTCTATTGATCCGCTATGGCTGCTGAATCTCCCCGCCGCCCGAGCCGCTGTACCGGAGGAGTGGTGGTTCGTCCACAGGCTGTCACGTAAGTGGCTTGCGACTCGTTGTAGGGGAAATCTCACTCGAACTTGCAAACTGAAGGTGAAACACTGGAGAGCTTGCCTGCACATGAGGTGTCGTTTCCATATAGCCCGAAGTGCCTGATCCTGCCTAATTTTGGAAGCTAAGCCATGTCGGACCTGGTTGAAATCTGGGGGGGTGACTTAAAATGTTGCGAACCGCCCAGAGCGCTTTGGCTACGGGCAGTATAGAAATGCAATGTGATCATCATCTACAGAAGTACTTCTCTTGCGCCCAGTTCTCATGAAAGCCTCTTCTCCCTCGGACTGTGTCTGTGTATAAGATGAGGCTTTGTACCCTGCATATCACGAGAGGCATTTTGCTATCCTTTTTTTTAAAGTAAGGTTTGCTTCACGTGTTGTTCAGTCTGGTAAAGGAATCACAGATGTTGCATTTTATTTGGAAGATTTATACCCTGCGTGCTTTGGAAACTCAGAGCAGCTTGTAATCAATGTACAGGGTGGCACGGTTCACACTTGAGGTGGTCAAGTGACATTTTCAAACCAAACTCCTTGCATTTTTATTAATGTTGTGGATCACTTTGGGCACTCTAGTCAAACACCATGATGCAAAGCTAGTGAATTATCTTTTTAAGTGCATGATGTCTCATCCGGAGACAAAACTCTGTGTACCCTTCTGAGGAAAAACCCCAAGTCCTTGTCGTCTCCTAAAGCACATACACGCAGACATTCAGCACTGAGTTTGATTGGGTCATGTGCCTCGTTGTGTTGCTTAGAGCACTGCTGTTTGTTCCAGCATTGGAGTTTTCGAGTCTTTTCTATCTGAAAGTCTTGTGCATGTGACTCCTTTAATCAGAGCCTTTTTTGGAAAATGCTGTCTTCTTTTCTTGGTTCATTGGCATCTGTCCTTTCCATTTTTTCCTCTTCCAGGGAACAGTCATATATGGAAAGTGTGGTTACATTTCTGCAAGATGTTGTACCTCAGGTAAGCACAAATATTTCATATTGTAGTTCTCATAGCTGCTTTTTTTTAAAATGCATGTGCTCTTTTTGCCCTTTTAACAAGGGTGCAAAATGGATTACATAAAACCATTTGCAATGAAAAATATAAGAAACTGGTAATGATGCCTGACAGGATGAAAAGATAGTGTGGTCTAAAGCAGCCTTCTATTTTTTAAATGGGATTGTGGTTTTATTTTATTGCACAGTTTAAAGCTAACTTCCAATCGCAAACTCATGGTATGAATGCTGAGAGGGTGGTGGCCATAATGGGACTGCTGAGAAGCCAGAGAATGTATTTGCCCGTTTGGCGAGAACGCCAAAGTCACAGATACATAAAAGAGCTTTAAAAAAGGCCAACAGTGCAGCTCCAGTGGGGGCTGCCCCCCTTTCTCCAGTCGCTCAGTGAGGAATTGAGTAGCCATGGAAAGCACTGCGATATTGGAAAAGAAAATGAGGGAGGCAGGAAGGAGAGTGGATGCCCTCTTGGGCTGGGGGTGCCTGGCTGAAACCCTGAACGGCAGCACTTCTGTTGGGAGGAAGGGGGCACAGCTCTCTGTTGCAGGGGGGCCCCATGCAGCGGATTAATAGATGCAGGCTGTCTAGTGAGCCGCTCTTTGTGCAGTGGAGCCTGGGCCAAAGTGCTGGCAGGTTTTTACTAGCTGGGGCACTGGCTTCCTCTGTTGCCTGCCCTGGACTTCCTTATCCCCCCTGCTGCTCCTAAGCTACAAGCCTCCTAGTAGCTAAGGGGAAATGGCTTTCCCCAGCAAGAGTATTTTTGTTTGTGATGTGAAATACTTGGGGGTGGGGGCGGCCTTGGCCTTTATTCATATCCCAGTTTTTTCCTTACAAAGAACACAAAGCAGCTTGCAGTTCTCCTGCTCTCAAGCTTATCTCCACAACAACAACCCTGTGAGGTAGCTTGGGCTGAGAGTCTGGGACTGGCCCAAAGTCACCCAGTTGGTTCTGTGACCAGGTGGGGGCTACAACCCAGGTTGCCTGAGTCCCAGGCCCACACTCTTCACCAGTACACCACACGGGCTCTCCCTTTAGCAGTACAGAAGACCTGCTCCTGGAGGAAATGCAAATAGCTGGGTCTGATTTGTTGATGTGGATGCTCTGGCCCACTTGCCATCCTAGCGTCTCTGGGCATACGCCTCTGGGAAGCACCTGCACCTCTGAACTTACCACCGCACCGCTGGCTGCTAACAATTGTCAACTGAACAGTAAAGCCAGTTTTTGTATTACCAGCTTTGGCAGGCCATAATGATACTTCGAACCCTTGTTTGTTCCCTTTCTTGTAGGCCTACAGTGGCACAGCTCCAACAGAAGAAAAAGAAAAAATTGTATGGGTCCGGTTCGAAAACGCTGACTTGAACGGTATGCCTCTCTCACCCCGCCATCTCGTTCCCTCCGTATGTCAGGTTGCTTTGACTGCTAAAATGTAACGTGCTTTGGCACCTTCATATCTGAAGAGCTGCCACTTTCCACATTTTCACCCACCTCTACTCCATTCAGCATCTCGAGCTCTGGCTTAGTCTCTGTTGCCTGGTGATATTTGGGAGGCATCGGGGAGGAGCTCAGAGCCTTCTTTGCAGTGGCACAACTTGTGGAATTTCTCCCTAGAGAGGTTTGCCAGGCCCCGTGAGCATTCGCTGAAGCTGTAATGCTACTGCAATGGGTTGTTTTTGCCAGTTCTCTCCAACCGTTGTTTGGGATTTTTAAAAAATTTGCTTCCAGCAAGCAGGTGGAGCTCAGGTATTTGAAGGCAGCCAGGTATTTCTGGAGCTCAGGTGTTTGAAGGCAGCCTGCCCCAGTTGGGCACCTCGCTGCTCTTCAGTCATGGTCACACAACTCAGCCAGTCAGTCCTACACAGCAGGCTTGCAGGGTGTGAATAAACCATGTCGGTTGCCTCCATGATCCTTCTGAGATATCAGCAGACTCAGAGAAAAACTCAGAGAACTTTGGCTGTCGGGAGGTATAGAAATGTGAAACGCATGGGCCCATTACATAATCTTTGCAGCTGTAGTGGCTGGAAATGTTACTTTTCCCCTTGGGTAGCTGAGATTCTTGCTGATATGTCTTCCTCACAGAATATCTGATTCCGCATACTCATGCAGAATCTCAGATGGCAGCAGCCCTGTATGTATTGTTCTAAAGGGAGCGGTAATGTGTGTGAGAGAGAGAACTCTCTGGGGGAAACACATTCTGATCTGATAAAGCCGTTTGGGTCTAGGTGAATTTACACAGCATTGAAATGTCATCTGAGTCTTGGAAGCTGCTGAAAAGTTGGGGGATTTGCCGGCTTACTCAGCAGAAAGTGACACGCACTCGTCATTGTGAACATCTTGCCAAACATCACACTGCAGAACAGGCCTGTGTATGTGTGGCAACAGTGGAGAATGTTGACATTGACTGGTAATTCTTAAGAGACCCACAAGGAAATATTTTAAAATGTTTGACATTTACTATAAATTTCAGGGGCAGGTTTTGCCTATGGAAAATCTCTCTCTAGTTCCATCACTTACAGTGAGAGGACAGAAAGCAAGCCAAACGTCCCCCTGCAGATATTCCTCTCTGGCCTCTCAACAGCTCCTGGTGAATGTCAACAGTCGCCAAGTCCCTGATAGTTGCAAGAATATGGACATCTATCCATAGAGTTTCGGGAGGGGGCAGGTGAAAGAAAGGGAGCTCAGGTAGAACTTTTGTAAACGCACATGCCTTTCACGTTAAGGGTCATGACGATGGCCTGCAGGAGTTCTCCTCGCTCGTGGCCGCAGTGGCTGCAACACCTGACCGCGATTTTCGTCTTCTCCGTTTAGATACGTCCAGGAATGCAGAGCTGCATGACGTGCGGAGCACCAACAATGAGCCTCCTTTGCTGCTTACGATCGGCTACGGGGACGGGATACAGATCTGGAGCGTACCTGTGAGTATTTCCTGCAGGAGGCTGTATGCACGCATCAGGGCCCCCCGCTGTGGTAATGCTCACTTGCAGTACTTTGTACCCCACTTTTCAGCTGGAGGAGGGTTCGGCTTTAGAGCAGCTTGCAAAGATTCACATGAAAGGCGTTTCGGATGGCACAACACAAAAAGAAAGGGTTTGGGAGGAAGGAGGCAAAGGGCCCACGGCTGGCTAATGCCTTGGGCCGGGGCGTTCACCTCTGTGACGTTGCCTTCTTGCTGGGAGGCGGTTGAGGCAGCCTTCCTGGGCACACTGCCTGAGCAGGATTGCGGTGGGGGGCCGTGCGTGGTAGGGCTTTTTTTCCTGCCGGCATGGATGGCTCCCAAAGGTGGTGCTTGGGGGGACGTTGCTCGGCCCCATGGATTCTCCAGCATGGGATTGGGAAGGATCACTCTTCTCCCCATGCAAATCACCATCGTCACGGAAGCTCCGAGCAGCGTCACCAGTCTGCCGATGACTCGCAGCTCAGCTTCCCCTTTTCCTCTTCATCAGGTGAGGCTCTGAGTGTGCCCAGTTGGTGTCTGGCAGAGGCAGTGGACTGGCAGAGGGCTGCCAAACTGAAACTCCGCAGTGGCAAGACCTCCATGTCCTTAGGACTGGGTGGGGGGTGCCCAGCCTGTGCTGGGAGGCGTGCGCTCCTCTTGAAGGGGCTCGCTTGCAGCCTGGCGGTTCTCCTGGCGCCACTGGGGAGTCCCCGAGCACAGGGGGCCTTCTTTCACTTTTGCCTGGGCCCGGTCCAGTGGCTTCTGCCCTGGTACCATCCAGGTTAGAGTACCACGGTATGCTGCATGTAGGGCTGCCTTTGAAGGAGGTCGGGAAACTGCCGTTTGTGCGAACTGTAGTAGGAAAGCCTGCATCTTTAACACTGATTCTGGCCTAGTTTCACGGGGTGGTATGTTTCGCAACCCAATGTGAGCTGCTGCTTTTAACCTTTAAAGCCTTAAATGGGACCAAAGCACTGGGCCGACTGCTTCTCCCAGTATAAACCTGTCCATGCAATATGAGCAACACCTAAGGGCCATGAAGTGGTGGCATTTCACTGGAGAATGCAATTTCACTGGTTTAAAAAATTGTGTGATTTGGGGGTTGCTGGGGTTTCCTTTGGTAAATGCTTTTAGAAAGGAATCTAAAATTGTAATAACTACAATAATTAATACCAGAGATCGTATAAGCTGATACTTTTTCTCTCCTGTGTGTTCAGTGTTTTACCATTCTTTGTGTTTAAGATTGTATTTTATTTATGTATTTGGATTGAGAATTGCCCAGGGAGCGTATGTTGATGGCTAGCTGTGTAAATGCAGTAGGGACAATATTGTAATTGGTTGCTGAGAAGGAAAGAGAGCAGGCTGTGGTGGCCCAGCATGCAGCTGAAGCGAGGACACTCGAGAGCAAGAAACGGTGCTGCAGTAGCAGGCTTGGGGTGTATTTACTCCAGAAATGGAGTTTGCTGGCAAAAGACGGATCGGTTGCTATCCTTCTTGGGGAAGATCCTTTCCTAGTCAGAGCAGAGTCAATTCTGGGTTAAGCTGGCCCAGTAAAAGGCAGCTTTTGTTATAAGAAATTAGTATTTTGAAAGAATTGGACTGAAGGCTTCACTAATAGTAACTTTATTTCTGAACATTATTGTGTTTCTAATATTTGACAAGGAGGTCTCCAGTTTTTTCTTTCCATCTCATTTTTTGAACTCCTGCCACAACTGCTGTTTCTAGGAATGAGCATTAGGTGTCACTAAGACACCAAGCTAAAAGCGCAATTTGCAGGGAAGTGCCAAAGATGGGTTGGAAAAAAGGGGGTGGACCGCGGTGGCGTTCCCGATCCTGTGTCCTGAGTTGGCATTCAAGGAACAGCAGCCGCTTGGAGGCCTTTTCACCATGATAGGATCTGCTTGTAACGTGCCGTGATGGCAAAACCTGGGCGTTTGGGCTCTGGTTCATTTATACAGGACATGTGGGCAGAGTCTGCACTGAGAACCCCCCAGAATTGCCCGGCAGCCGCTGCCTCTAGCCCTGTGTTGAAACTGACCGGCAGTGTCTCCAGGGTTTCTGCGGTGTCGGCCATGCTGTCCGAAAACTCTGCTGTAGATTCCATTAGCCTCTCAGGCTCGACGGTCCTCGTCATTCCCCGTCCCTGCAGAGGAGAAATAACTGCCGAGAGTCTGCACCTCCGGAGGAGTCTGGCTTTTGCTGAGGCAGACCGTGGGTCCACCTAGTGCAATGTTGCCAACACTGACTGGCAGCAGTGGCTCTCCTAGGAGAGGCTGGATGAATTTGGGGGCTTTGTGTGCAAAGCATCAGCTCCACCACTAAGCCATGGTCCCTCCCTCCCTCAGGCAAGCGGCCCTGACCTTGCTGGCTATGAATGACCCTCCAGTGGACGAGGCGTCTGACCATTTCCCAGGCGCTTCAGGAGCCATCAAAACACAGTTTAAAACAAGGCTGGGCAACATAGGTGCCTCCAGATGTGCTGGTTTACATCTCCCAGTATTTTGCACCTTCCCCTGTGCTGGCTTGGCTGATGGGAGCTGCAGTCCAACAGATCTGAAGAGCCCCATGAGGCTCACCCCTCGATTGAATGCTGCAGTCATAGGGTAGTGAGTTTCAAAAGTTCTGCTTTCAGCAATCTCTTTTCCATATCAAATTATGTACTGGAGGAATATTCTCCCACCCCCTGCCCTTGGTGCCATGTACTTTAGTCTTCCACAACTCTCTAGATGTTTGGACAAGGATGTCCAGGATGTCGGACCCCGAGGGTGTGGAATGGGCTTCCACGAGAGGTCGTTGAGGCCCCATCGGTGCGGGTGTTCAAGGATAGGCTGGATGTCCACACGGTGGGCATGTCATGAGCGGAGCCGGCTGGTGCCGGAGGTCAGACTAGATGGCCCGGGAGGTCCCTTCTGACTCGCTCTGTTTTCTGTGTTTTTGTGTCTGACTTTCAGCCCTTCTGAGGCTGACGTTCAGAAAATCTGGTTCAGGAAGGCTACAGGTCGAGGAAGGCAGTATTATACACACACATACACAGACCCAGCCCCTCTGGACCTGCCATTCCTGTGCCACTACAGCCCTGCTTTTTAAAACATGCACATGTCATGCTGCAGTATATGAGGGAAAGGTGTATATTTTTCAAAAGAAAAAGGAAAGCAGAAATCATGATTGGAAGTGGGAGTAAACTGGAGAACTTGGATGAGAGTTCTCGCTGACTCTTCCATCCCTGCTCAGAGGAAGCTGAGTCAGAACGTGGGTCTGTCCAGCCCAACGTTGCTGGCACAGCCTGGCAGCAGCAGTTCTCCAGGCTTTCCAGCTCCCTTGCCCCGCCTGGAGACTGAGCATTACACTTGGAACATGCAGGGCCGGTGCTCCTCCACTGAGCCACGAGCCTTGCCCTAAAAATACAGGCGTCTTCTAGCCTTCATGGTAGTGAATGAAGGGTTCCTTTCACTAAGCTCAGCCTTCGGTCGGCTGTCCACACCAGCCGGCAACAGCCCTCTGGCACTTCAGGCAGTCTTTTCGGGCCTGTCTTGAGATGTCCCAGTCCTGAACCACGGATCTTTCACATGCCACGCAGGGCCTCTAAGATGCCACTGACACCACCGAAAGCCACCGAGCCATTCAGCCCCCCCCCAGTCCCCCTCCCTTGCTAACATGTGCATGTGGGCTCCATCTTATTATCAGTCCTCCGTAACTGCGGTGCTGCCTCATTTTTAGATTTCTATATTTAGACACTTTGCCTGTTCCTTCTCTGCACAAAAAAAAGCCCCCGGAGCTCGAGCCCATTAATATCATGCGCAAAGCCCCGCGCTAAAGCAAACTTTTATCTGTAGTGTTGTGCTTTCATTCTCTGTGCAGCCGGACACCTATTCAGCACTTAATAAACTAATGTGCTCCAGGCAGCCCCGTTTGCGTCTGACTGATTATGAAGTGTTTATGACAGTTCCTAAGCCGACACCCTCCATAATGGTGTTACATGGGGCTCGGAAACACTTCCCGGCCCTTCTTCTCTGATGGTGTGTCTCTCTCCAGTCTGAGTGGTTTTGCATTAAATCCCCTTGGAGTAAGATCTTTTGACTACTGAAGTGTTGCTTGCAAATGGAATATCCCATTTAGATTTGCTTCAAAGGGTTCTGGTAATGCTTGGGCCACAGTCACAGCTTGGGAGATTTTTTTGAAGTGCGCCATGTTAATCCACGATGCGCAAGGAGAGGAAGCTGTTTATTTAGCTCTTTTGCTTTCTTTTTCCTGGGGAAAGTGTGGGTGGGAAAGTTGAAAGGTTTTAAACAAAAGGATAAAATGGCGTGTTTGTAAAACAAATCAAGCAACTAGTGCAAGGTGAGATTTGTGTGTTGGGTAATGTGGAGTTCAAAACTGGGTGTAGCCGCCTTTCCAAATCTCATATTTGAACAGCCGTGTCATAGTGAGCAGTCTGCTGTCCTGGTCAAGAGGAGCATCTCCCATGTTAGAGATGGGTGCTTTTTAAAAACAGTTCACTTCCTTTTAACATTGAATTGTACATAAGAGATCACAGACCAAGGCAGCCTTGTCCACCTCGATAAAGCAGAGGCTTTCTTTTTTCTTTCTCTTTAACCCGAATGGAAAGTCTCGCTACCTTTTAGAAAAGGGATTTTAAGATGGAGCTGGAGAGTCATTGTTGGCAAGATCCCCTTGAGACTGAGAGAGGGAGGTTTGAAAGCTCACACTTCAAATCTTGGCTCCTTGCAGGGAAAGGCAGACTCTTCAGTGATTGTCTCATCTTTTCCTTTTCTTGAGCTCTTTTCTGGAACCCGCAGGGGCTGGACGGCTGACTGGCCTTGCCCTTAGAACTGAGCCCTGGAACTCTGCCTTGCACCATCTTACGTCTGGTAGGAAGGCAGGGGGATGACAAATGAAGGATGACGACAACCTCTGGACTCGCCCCCAAAATGGAATGGGGGGACGGTGCAAAGCCTTCCCTGGAAGCGCCTTCACTTTCCTCAAAAGCCACCTAACCAATTGGCTGTTATTACATATCATACATGTCAAATACATTACATTTACAAGTGCATTTTGTAAATTCTCTGGGCTTAATGTTTCTCTGCCCATCCTGAGCCTGTCACCCAATAACTTTGCTAGCTGGCACAGAGTTCCAGGGTGGAGAGAAAGGGAGCGAGATGGAGAGCCAAGCCTAGAGAAGTGAGATGCTGCTTTTGAACGGCCCTCAGCAGCTTTGCTCATGGCCAAGGGGGGTGAGCTTGGGCTCGGCGTGGACAGGAATGGCGCTGCCTCTCTCAGAAGGCTGCAGATGGTGACCTTCACATGGATTCCCAAACCCCCGGAACACATGCTGTAAAAGCAAAACTCTAATTTCTTAATACGTCTTTAAGTAATGTCTTTGGTGTTATCAGCAGCAGACCAAAGTGCAAAGAAATTGCTGAACAGATTTAGCAAAAATGTAGGCATGGGAACATACCCATAAATTGATGTCGCAAGCCTTAAAAGTAGCTCTCTGTTTGTGGTCCCCCAAATGCCTCGCAAGACAGCAAATCTCTCCGCTGCAGATGACCAGATGTCGGTTTCTTGGCGATGTTAACATTTCATGTAGTGCGCGAATGTGATTTTGAGATAGCCAGAGAAACACGATCACATGTTTTTTATATGAAGGGACTTTGGCTCTTGTATCCTAGTCTAAATAGGGGTGTAGGTATATAGTATATCCACCTAGTCTGTGCATACAAGCAAGTATATATTTCAGCATGCTGGAATGGCGCAGCAGTAACGCCAGGGCCTTCTTGCACCTGTCTCCACCTTAACTTAAGCCGATTTGTTGGCTCCAGCATGAGTTGCCATTAAGGTACACCAGGTTCCTGTTTTGAAGCTTATTAATATCGTATTAATGGCCAGGCTCTTAGATCCTGCTGGACTGCTTCAAGGGCTTCCTGTGCATATCTCTGCAGTTCTTATCATGGCCACGTAGACCACATATCATTCATGTGGAGGGAGTCATTTGGGGCAACACGCAGTCCCCACTACCCCCATTGGTTTTTGTGCCCCCCTTTTGACTCTTCTGCCAGTTGTGTCCCTTAAGGGGGTGGGAGGGGGGTTTCTTTCCAGGAAGTACTAATGGGAGGAAGTAGGCAATCCCAAAGGTCTGGCTTCAATGGCTGCACCAAGTCCCTTTCGTTGTGCTCTTCATGTGCTTAACCAAAGGCTTCATTCTTTTCAACATGCCTAAAGAAAGTTTAAGAAAACAAATGCCCAGCCATTGTCTTGCATCAGCAAATCAAAGAATATTACATTTGGAGCTGGCTTAGAGTTCCATCAGCCGCGCAAAGAAAGAGGAACAATTGGCATTTGTCAACTTGGATTATTAGAGTTGCCAAATTTCAAGACTTCACAGAGGCTCTTACAATTTTCGGTGGCGCCTCTAAAACCCCGTCTGCCAAAATAGTGAGTATCTCTTTTCTGCTCTGGAAAACGAAAACATACTCCCACTCAGCCGTGGCCATCTCAGGCTAGGTAGGGTCATGTTCGGCTTTGCTACAGGGGGTGAGCAAACCCTTCGCCCTTTTAAAAAAAGGGTTTAGGCCTCCAGTTTGTCCTCTTCTAAGCAGCCCACTGGGTGGAGAGAGAAGGAAGCGGGGGATGGCGGCAGAGAGAAGAAGGGGTGGTCCTCCTCCATCTACAGACGACCCAAGCAAATTTCCCCCAACTTGGCACCCTCTAAATGTGGGTGGTATGTAGGGCATCAGGTTGGAGAAGACTGCTGTAATGCCATCCCAGCCTCTGAAGCCCAGCAGCTAGGGGGACCTTCCATCGTTCTAAAAACGCCAAGCCACTGCCTTATCCTGAAGCATACACAAACTGACATCTCTGCCATGTTTTAAGAGGCTGACGCGCCAAGGATGGAGGTGACTTGATGGGGAAAATCCAACTGGCTCCTCTCCCCACCCGGCTGTGGTAAAAATACTAAACAACTGACAATTTGCTAGCCTTGATGTTGCCCCAATTTCAGTTCCATTTCTCCTCTTCTGGTTTGGTGCAACTTTTGTGTCATCTTCAAACTTTAGAAAAGGGGGGGATCTTTCCCCCTCCCCAGCTGAAAGTTATTTTCCATGGTTGGAAAATATTTGTTCGCACAGTAAGGGAAATAGTATTCCTTTTGTTTCTGTTTATTATGGATTGAAACTGGTATGCTCCCAGGCAACAATGGCTGTCATCGGGAATTAAGGCTGTGATTCAAATTTAGCCTTGAAGTCTCTCCCTCTTTTTTCTTAGTCTTTTGTTCTGGTTTCTTTTCTTAAAAGTACTGGGCCGAAATGTGAAAAGGACAGAAGGTATAACTTCAGTCGCTCAGTCTTTTTCTCTTCTCACAGATGGGGTGGGTAGGGCAGCTGGGCGCACTGCTGTACTTAGGTTTGACATGCAGGCTCTTGCACTTCAGAGGTTGAGCTCTTGCACTTTCCGAGCTGATGGGCCTGTGACCTCCCTCCTCATCTGGCTGAAGTTACCAAGTCCCTTGCCTGCAGTCGCGGCTGTCTGCTCGTCCTTTGGCGGAATGAAACACCTGAGGCTGCTTTTAAGCCTCATATTCCATTCCTGAAACCTGTCTCAAAGTGTCCTTGGCTTGTTGAAAGGCGAAATGGAGTGGAGGGGGGCATTCTCAAATGCTGGAGAGCTTCCACTGGGGGCTTCCTGCATAGCTTGGCACATGCCCAGACTGGTAGCTGTGAGCAGGTTTTTCCTCAGGTGGGTTTTGAACAATTTAAAGCTCTCCCCCACACTCCCAGTGTGCTCAGTTCCTATAAAATTTATACTTTAGCTCGACCTGGCCATCCCGGCAGAGCTGGCCAGGTTTGCATGGGGCTTTTGTTTCTCCTCTTCTGGTCTGAACACAGGAACCTGTGCAATAGAGCAGCCGCTTTGCATCTGCTGCAGGCTGTAGATTCAGTCCTTGGGGTCTCCCATTAAAAGGGTTAGGGTTGGGGCTTTTCCCCTATTTTGAGCTTACAGCTCAATCTTTGAGAGCCACTTAGAGAGATGGAGCAGGTGGATTTTAAAAGTTAGGGCAGGTGTATGGCCCTATTATTTCTGGATTCATATCCCCTTTGTTTTGACTTCTGACATCTTGAGCTTCTTGTTTCACCCACTTGCTTCCCAGGTTCTCTTTATGTCAGCATGTTGGTTTTAAAAAATTTAACCTCATTACATCTGTTTTTAAGTTCTCAGCAACTTGGCACACTGCTTCAGAATGTTTGCTGTTTTCCCAGAAGTTTGACATGCCGTATCGGATTCTTCCCCAAACAGTTCTGGAAATGCATTGTGATGAGTTGCTTTTAGAGGAAGCCTAGAAAGTATTTCTTGACTAAGCGTGACTGGATTTCTTCAACGGTCCTTCCAGTGATCAAAGCATTTAGGGTAGGGGTCCCCAATTCTGCTGATTAGGTTCAAGCTGCACCTTTGGCGGCCAGGATGCTCCAGTACTTTCCTTCTGTTGTTGGGAGGAGAAAAGACGGGAAGGAAGTTTTTTCACATCTGTGTTCTGTAACTTCTTCATGCATGAACCCAAATCATGAACTTGGAGGAGATGCAAGATCTCCACTAGGAACCTGAGATGATTTCTGCTGGATCAGACCAAACAACTTCTCAGTGCAGTGTTTTGCTACACTTAGTGGCCTTCCAGATGCCTCCGGAAAGCCCCGGGCAGGACGAGAAGGCAGTTGTGGCCTGCCAGCAGTGCTGAAAGCCATGCTGCCCTTAGCTATGGTGGCAGGGAGGAAGAGCTTTGGTGGTGCTCTCAAACCGTGGCTGGCTGGCTACTAAACCAGGCCAACTCAGGAGGAGCCCTTGCATTTTGCAGCAATGTCTTTCTCCCTTATATGCGAGAGAGCATTTCTCTTGGAGGCTATTACAGGAGAATCCTTCCCCCTCTGAAAAATCCGCTTAGATTATTTTCTAGGAAAGCTGGAAGAGAAGCAGAATTCTTTCTTGCTAGGTAAGTTTCAAAACCAGCAAGCAGCCAGCCAAGAATCCTGTTAGCATCATACCTTTATTAGACCAAGCAGAAGATCACAAAAATGTGCGAGATCATCAGATCCCTTTATTTGCTGAGATATTATAGAAATAACATTAACATGTCCTTAGTCCACTGAGGGAAGGCAGAGTGCTTGCTAATGTGTGCTTCTTCATTGTTGTCACACAGATCAGCGGTGAAGCTCAGGAGCTCTACTCTGTCCGGCATGGCCCCGTCCGCACTGCTCGCGTCCTGCCCTCACCACAGATCAGTAAGTACAGGATCTCGTGTGTCGATCTCTTCACCTCCGCTCCCACTGTCTTCCTAGTATCGCTTTATTGATTTATAGCGGGGACGATTTTCTGCAAACAATCTGAAAATGCCATGTTTGCAATCCCGAACACAAGCACAAACTTTTTTCCTAAGACATGTTAGCAAAATTCATGATAGGTATGGTTGCATTTGAAAAATTTCTATTTTTATATTGCTGTTGGCAAGGGAGGGGGAGATACACACTTCTGAGAAAAATGTAAAAAAATGTGCAGTTTTCCATGTTGGAATGTGTGCTATTTCTGTTTGAACACACCAAAAAATGAGATCAAAAACAGAAGCAAGGTGAAACAGACTTGGAACTACATTTTGGATCAATTTGGTGAGCTCAGAAAAATACCTCATTCTTCCACCTATAATAGGAATGTGATTGTGCCCACCTTCAAAGATTCCTACAGTTGAAGGGCAGAACCAGCTGGGAAGAAGGCAGTCATGCTGTTTAACTCAAATCCCAGCCCCATTTATATTAATCAAAGAGGATTTGCATCTGTATCTGTGTTTGCCCATCAGCACCATCATGCTAAGGCTGAAATCTAGACACCTGAAACTTGATGTGTGTGCTCTGGGGACCTGGGGTGTCTGCACTTTCAGGAATATTTTGTTTTTAAAATGTATTCATTAATTTTAGTGTAAATGAGTCCTTGTGATTGAAGTCAACAATATCATGATGGCAAACATCCTCAAAACACATAGTTTTGCAGTCCTTCGAACAGGAACGCATGGGAGATGAGGAGGCCAGGAGACAGTTATATGGCTACCCCCTCCCACCTGCTCTTTTCTGGTGAATGGACATGGATAGGATGCCTCCCCCTCCAGGTGAATGGAGTGGATTGGACCTTCCCCCAAGTACCTGTAGGAATGACCGTGGCAGGAGCTGTGCCTAGGCATGCCTCCATGTTTCTTCTCTGCATCCCAAAAAGATGCACCACTAAAACGCTAGAGGTAATTTGTGGATAGAGACAGAATTTGAATAGATAAAAATTCAAGTTTCTAGCCCTTAACGTTATCAACATAAAACTAGTAAATTAGGTGCTGCTTAGTGGGGTTGCTGTTTTTGTTTTTGTTTTCTGAACTGCTTAATACTTGTTATATGGGAAAACAATTTGAATTAGTTAATATTAAAGTGAAGTAATGTTGCAGCCCCCTGCATGCCTACTTGGGCATACGTCCCATGGAGCTCAGTGAGGTTTACTTCTGATTTATTTTTAAATTATTTTTAAAAATAAGGCTTTCATTCCTCTTAGCTTGGTAGAAAGTAGAATCTTTGATTAAAAGCAACCAGATGCATTATTGAACTGTCTCTGGAATCTGATGAAAGTAAAGCTTGTAATGGGAGGCCTTGGGTAGCCAGTGCGTGAACTGGGATTGGGAACAGAATAAAAGAGGTTTTTGTAAAGAAGATGCTGATAGCCATCAGCAATGCTGAAACACCCTTTTACTGGGAAGCCTTTTTTTAAAAAGGCGTTTGGATGTGGGAGCAGCCGCTGGATAGATGATTTGGCATGCTCCTTGAAAGATTATGGCATGAGATAAGCGACTCATTCTCAGGTGTGAAAGGAAAAGCTCAGGTTTTTAACTTGGTGACTGTTTCAGCATCCGAGCTGAATAGTTCGTCAGCTATGTTACTAAAGCACCCTAAGCTTTTTGATGTTGGGTCCTTTGCTGCTTCGGGCTCTCAGGAGTATAAAGCCCGCTGTGTTTGGAAAGAATATTTTGCGCCTGGGCTTTGGCAAAGGTACCTCCCTTGCATTTGAGCTGTACGGGGCAGCTTCCCCTCAACCAGCTCCCCCAGCTCCCCCCATTCAGAGTCAGCACTGGAAATGGGGGAAGTTGGAATTGGGTGCATCTTGAGGGCACTTTCTAAGGCTCAGTACCCAGCATTCCCAGGTAAGCCTGGGAAAGAATTGTGCCTGAATTCCTGGAGAGCCACTGCCAGTCGACCGGACTGGGCTAGACAGCCAAAGGCGGCTTCCTGGGTTCCCTAGCAGGGCCAGCATTTGGCCTCTGCCAGGGACTCGCACTCCAGCAGGGGCCCGCTGGCAGAGCCTGCTGCAGCCTGCTTGCCTACCTGCCTCTTGCCCCAGGCAATGGAGGCAGTAGCAGCACCCCGCTCACTGCCTCCTTGCCCATCAAGCCAGCAAGCGGGAGTCGTGAGAAAGAACAGGAGCGGCGACAGCCGGTAGCAGTGGGGGCGAGCAAGTAAATGCACTGAGCTGGGGGGTCTTGCCTGAGGGGTATCAAAAGCCTAGAGGTGGCACAGTTCCCCGGTTTGAAAACCCCTGAGGCCCAGTTGTCTTTTTCTGTGGTTTTCAGACTTGTACGCCTGCTACAAATTCTGGGAGGCGCTGTCCCCCGTTTTCAGAGCCACACAGATTTAAGTGACAGACGGACTGCTAGTCCAGAGGTGTGGCTTGACTTGGTAGCTCCTTGCATTGCCAGTCAGAAGGCGCCACACAGCAGCATCTTTTCCTGCTCAACCTAATTTTGTGGAAAGGAACCAGCAGTGGGAAAACACAAGACAACAGGCAGTTGTCTGTCGCCTCCCTGCTCCTAGTAAAATAGATTGAGGCTGGACAATTGCAAGATAAAGCCTAGTCCAAAAGCATCTTAGAACTCAGTTAATTAACTGAAATTACTTTAGTTGGGAGACAGCCCTTAAATATTGGTAACTCTGCTTATCACAACTTGGCCACCTATTGGGTTGTATTGGAAATTACCCTTTGTTCTTGAGACTATATAAAATCGGGAAGGGAAATAGCTTGTAGCAGCTCTCCCAATTCAAAATAATGGCATAAATTGAAACATCTCGCATTGCCTTGGCTTGAATTCCAAGTTATGCAAACTGTCGTGTTCCTCACATCTGTGACTCTTATACTGCTATTCTTTTTTTTTTTTTTAAGGCAACCTCAAGGGCTGACTTAGCACGTTTTCCTGTGTTAAATAAAGTAGTAATAATTATTTAGGTTGCTCTATAAAAGAAGGCAGATGTTAAAACACTTGTATGTGGTCAAGCGTTTTGGGTGGCTATGTGGTTTTCCAGTCTCTTAATACAAAAGTCATTTTTTAGCAGATGTGCTGTATAAACTTGGTAGGTAACCCAGTGGTCACAACTTGTAGGCAGACTTGGATGAAGCAAGGTGGGCCTTTAGTTCTTCATTACTACTATTTAAGTGACATGTTTCTGGTTTGTCCGTGGGACTGGTCTGTGTCAGACCTTGAAGGGAAATTATAGAGCACGGTTCTCATGCCAAAACCCTTTTATGGCTATATACAAACATATGGGCCAAAGTCCTAATGAAATATATCTTTAAAACTCTCATTTGACTGGGTTGGCCTTCTCTTGGTTTGTACTTTTAGTTACTGTTAAATGTATAATTTTGGTTGCTCGGTGGTAGCCACATGAGAAGATCTTGCTTTTCACGTTACCTGTTTTAAGGCTGACCTTGGAAACTTCTGATATGAAAACATCTGGACTAGAGCAGAAATGGTTCTCTCCATATATGAAAAAGATAAATTACTCCTTATGACAGCAAAAAGGAGTTTTGCTCTGTTTCGTTTTTCTTCCTTCATAATACTTGAATTCAAGATTCCCAATCCAGTGCTGGTTTAGCTGGAGATTCGGGACCAAGAGAAGCGGGTGCCGCTTCACACACCAAGCTGTTCAGTTCTGCCCCCTCCCCATCTGGGATGCAGGTCCATATTTGGTTGTGAGGAGTCCAAAAGAGATGAGAACTAGGTTCACTGGAATATAAATATGGATAGCCTGAGAGATATTAAATGTTAAACATTTGTATAAAGCCATGGCATTTTTTAAAATGAGGAGGTAGTAGTAGCTATTGTTTTTCCCTAGCAGGGGCCATCACTCAATGGCAGAGCAGTTGCTTTGAGACGGGCAGGAGGTCCCAGACTCGATTCCCATCTGGAGGTGGCAAAAGTTTTTGACCAGGTTGACCTGTGACAAGATTGTCCCTGGATGGGGCACATTAGCATGTGCATGCAGGGCGGGGGGGGGGGGGGTAGCTTGTCTTTTTCCTCAGTTCGGGATGCAGAGAGAGGAGCAGCCTCGCAGGGTCTCACAAGCGAGGTGTTCTGTGTGTGTGTGTTTTCCGGTGGGCCCTACATAGGACTGTCCAGGGATGGCTCTGCCACTTGACCCGTTGCTTGTGCCGGCTAGTAGTGCCCCCTGCCACCCACTGAGCATGATTGCAGTGCGAGGACCTGGACCCAGCTCCGTGGTCCTCATTTGAACGGCTGCATTACGTTGTGGTGGTTTGTTGTTTTTTTTCTGGGCAAGCCCAGCGCCAAGTGGGCCTTCCAGCTCCTAAAGCTCCTGGGTGGGTGTGAAGCCCCTGGTTCAGCTGGGGGCAGAACAAAGCGTCAGGATCATAAAGTGACATTAATATCTGAGAGTGTATATTTCCACCAATGTCGGCTTAGCTTCCTGGTCAGCCGTTGCTCACCGTGGCCACTAGCATCTTCTCTGGCAGGTCTTCCCCCCACTTCTGTTCTCCTTGAAACTTAATGGAGAGCAGGCAAACAATACTGTCTAGCAACCCCCACCCCCAGTGAAAAGTTCTTTCATTACGAGAGCTGTGCCAGGGACCCCAAAGTCTTGGCTTGGCCAGTCACCACTGTTGCAGGCCCATCAGGTGCTTTAGGGCTCCCTGGAGGGCTTGGGGGAGAAGCAGGGTCACCTGCACGATCTGTGGGCAAGGGAAGATACAAGGGAGCATTTCCCACGGCCCAGCCAGGTGTTTCTCCCGCCAGCCTCAACTGGAATGCGACTTCTGGGGGCAGCGGGCCATGCGGTGCCAGTCCCTTGGCAAGCAGAGAAGGGAGCGCAGCGTTCCAGAGTGCAACCGGGAGAGCTGGATTTCTTGAATGTTGGCTTATGTCAGGGGAACAGCGTCAGCTCCCGCATGCAGGTAGAAAGCCAGCCCATCAGGAAGAGGGCAGCGAGCACAGCCCCCTTCCGCCTTTGTGTGCTGAATTTTTCCCTGCAACATATTTGATGGTTTGGACGTGGAGAGCCCTTGGAAGCCTTCTCTTCCGCCCAGAGGTCAGGGTGGCGCAGTTCCCCGCTAATGCCGCTGGCCTTGTAGACCAGGCTGGTGCCAGGCCAACTGTGCGACAGGGCCTCCAGCCATGCTTGGCAAGGCTTTCGTTCCCTCCGTTTCCCCTCCACATTTTAATTGCGAATGGCTTGGACTGAGACAGCTTGTGAAATTCCCGCTGCTTAATGGAAACTTTCATTATGTTTTGTGTTCATTTCAGATAGTCTGTACGATGACAGACCTTTAAAAAATAATCTTTTAAAAATAAAAACTATTCCACTAAACGCAATTGTGGAGAAGGTGGCGCCTCATTGGCAGGAGACACCGTTTTCATTAGTTTAATTGTGTGGTTTATCAGGATTTTCAGCTTTTGGGGTGGGTGGGAGGGTTAAATGCAATAGTGTTATGACAGAATTAAAAGGATTTGGAATAAAGGGGAGTTTGGAGTGAGGGGAGGGCCTTTGCAACTAGATTTCATACCTTTTGATTTGATGGTTTTGGAGAATTGTGAGCTTAAGAAAAAATTCCTTATAAATTGCTATCTGGCAGTCTGTTAAATACATTGCACAGAGCAGGTGTGTCACAGCAGTAAGTAGCACATGTAAAACAAACATGATTTTAGATATTTTTTTAAAAGGCCTGTAATCCCCTATAGCTTGGAAGGCTTGCATCCCTTCGCTCTCCCACATGGACCGTTTGTGGGGTGGAGTGGAGGTGCCTCTCCTGTTAACTCCTGATGGAGATGAATGCCTGTTGTTGCTCTTTGCCATCCTGTGGGCAGAGCGGTCCTTAACTTGGATACTGCACTGGGCAAAATCCCTCATGGTAATGAATTGTTCTGGAGTCCCAATTTTTTAAAATTCTGCACTTGTGCAAATCTTTTGCTGCAGCTGATTCTGTATGTCAGGGTTTTGTTTTTAAACGTGTGTTTTCTGACCCCCATGAAGTGAAAAACATTGTTGTTTCTGTCCTAAAGCGAGTTAGTGCTTGGTGGGCAGTAGCTTTCATTCCCACAAATTCAAAATTACGGCTCCGCTTCTGTTGGCATGAGGCATGGCAAACACCCTGAGTTGTAGGCTTATATTTCTCCAGCATTCTGTTTAAAATAAAGCCAAGAAGCAAAACTGCCCTTTTTGGTGGCTGGAGTGTTGGATGCGTCTCACTTCTGTGCTCGTGTTGCAGATAAAGCTTGAACGGGTCTGTGGCAAGTCCTCGTTTTGTTTGCCGGGTGTTTCAAAAGGGCTTCAGATGTTTATCAGCAGCCCAGTTCATATGATGCAAATGTGACTTCTAGAAGGCTGTGTTGATGGTTGAAACTGTCTCTGTGAGTCATTAAATGTTGAAAACCAAAGCATAATTGGGAGGAGTTCCATAGATGATTGGTAAACCTTTTAAGTGCACACATTGTACCCAGGCTCTTTAATCTTCTCGAGGACTGTTGAGAGAAAAATCTGTCTGTGTGTGTTAATGGTTTTTCTGTTCAGATTATTTCAGATTAATGCATTTTAGAAGCCCACAGTTAAACTGTGAATTAAGCTTTGATGGGAATGGCTTTTCAGCAATATTTTCCGTTGATCAAATAACCTGGATTCTAATGGGAAGCCAAAGCAACGCTTAACAAGACAGAGTGCTTCCATTTTTAAAAATAGAGTTGTTCATTTCATTTCTGTTTTCTGAGTCATCTGGGTCTTTAGCATGGAAAAGAACATTCAACAGCGTGGTCAGATCAGTTTCTTTACATGTTTCATTTTTGGAGCTCCCCCCTCAACTCTCTCTCTCTCACACACACACACTTCTTGGTTGCTTTTTGGAATATCCCCCTGAAGTACTTACAAAGCCATGCAAAGCTTAAAACACAGTGGGACATTAGAAATGGCAACAACTATAATAACCCTCAATATTTAAATCCTTAAGATATATATTCAAATACACATTCAAGCCAGCCAGACAAAACAATAAAAAGGTAAGAGCTTTATATGACATGCTGAAGTGCTCACCTGAAAATAACAGGATAGGGGCTGATTGTATCCTTGAGGGAGGGGAATCCGAAATGAGGGGCCAGCACTCACAAGGCCCTGTTCCTCAGGCCTATCTGTTCAGCTGTCACCAGTGACAGGCAAATAAACAAGATCCCTGCAATAGATCTTAAAGATTGGGAAGATTTGTGGGTATGTTCCTTCCTCTCCCAAGTCTGGAAAGTTTTGTGGTCCAATTGCAGTGGAAGTGGCTATGGATCCAGGCCTTGCCAGTAGTTCACTGACCTTCATCCAGGCTTTTTGTGGTCTGTGCCGCAAAACTAGTGTGCCTTGGAGAAAGCCGTCCCCCAAAGTGCTCGTCTGTCATGGGGAAGTGTTGACGTGTGGAAGCATCCAGCCCTGCCGTCTGCTCCCCGAAGGGGCTGCAGTCACTCCCACAGGAGCTGCAGCATGGGATCACAGACCAAGGTCTGCTTGTTTATGCTTTGCTGTAATGCTGAACACCTAACTTTTGAGAATATTTTCCAGTGCAGTGGGAAGGGCATGTGTACCGCCTCACACCTTGTGCCTTTGGGTGCAAGGCTTCTAAGAAGCCTGCTTAGTCCAAACTGACCTTTCCTGAGTAGAGGGCCAAGAAGTATTTTCTGCTCTCAGCCCGCCTCAAGCATGAATTAACCCCCTCTGTGCCGACAGTGCTCTTTCTGTACATTTTACAAACAAACTCCTCCCTGTGTGTTCTGTTCTGTTCAGGTCCTCAGAAGTGTGATAACTTTGCCGAGAAGCGACCTCTCCTTGCTGTGTGCAAAAGCACCGGATCTTCTGGGTAAGACAACCACTTCCAGGCGGGTGGCCTTGTGAGTCTGTTGCAGGAAAAGCAGTCAAGTGCCCTGTGGCACTTTGAAATCTCAGCCAGATTCATTGCAGCATAACGGTCCCATGAGCCAAAGCCCCTCTTTTCAAATGTATAAAGTTCTGACTAAGATGATCCTTAAGCAGGGATGCCTGCAAAGGGGAGCAGGAACCCCTCCCAAATATGTCCACTCCTGCCCACCAACTTTCAGCCATTTCTGTTTGTATTTGTATTTATTGTGCACATTTTTTGACCCCACCATTACCTGCAGAGGCCCTTTGGGAACATCTTCTGTGTTGCCCCTCTGTGCAGCGTCGCTTCCCCAGCAATGCAGTTTCCCTGTCCTTGTTTGTTTTTAAATAGTGGTGCATAACTTTAGCAACAGTTTAGCTGAGAAGCCAATATAGAAATGTCAATAATATTACATAATTAAAGCAAAGCATTTGCTTTTCCAATAACAGCCTTTACCACCCCTTTCCTCTTCCAAGCAGTCACTCCTGTTCCTGGGCATTGTTCTGAAGTGTCCCTCTTCCCTCCCCACTTCTGTTGCTAGAATTGCAGAGGTTTGGGAACACGGGGGGCAGCCGTGACCGCTGTCAGCAAAGCAAAAGTTAGTACTAGTCGGGGATGCAGGGTTCTGTCCTGTCTGGGCATGGCACTCCTTTTTGTAGATTCTCATGGAACTCCATGAAGCTGCTTTGGCTTGGCTTACAGCCCTTTTGAAGTAAGCATGATGGATACTGTTAAATGCAGCCCCCAGTCTCTATGACTTTGTGCTAAGAATCCTGCACTGTGATCCTCCAGACCATGTGCCAAGAAAACCTGAATTCTGCAGTCTATATAATTTAGGTGACACAAGCCATTGTGTGCTATCTTACCTGATTTTGCAAAGAAGGATCGGGGGGGGGGGGAATTAATGATTCGGGAGGGCGCTCTCACTTGGCCTTCTGACCACTTGTTTTGCCATGTCTCAAAGTCCAACAAGCATTGTCTGTGCATCAGCCGCATCCTTTTGGCCATAAGGACTAGAAACTAGTTCTCCTTAAATAAGACTAGGTAGCACAGAGGAAACCTGATGCTTAGAAATGTGTCATTTTGTTCATCTTTTAGAAAGAGAGAGATGGTTAATTCTAAGCCCTGCGCCACATTGTGTGCTGTAACTGCGACTTAATGGAACCATTCGTGGTCCCGCTTCGGCGAGATTTCCCCATGTGCATCCCTCATTCCTTTTCTGTGGGGTTTGCACGTGAGACATGCCTTGTGTATTTTAACATTGCTGGGAAGGTGTGGGGAAGCAGAGAGAAAGAGAGGCTGTTAGAACATTGTCCTTTAAAGTATGTTTACAACTCACAACACTGTTTACATTGGTGATTATATGCTTGTCAGGATGTTTATAATCCCACAGGCAGCCTTTCTGGTCAAAAGGGCTTGCACGTAGTTCTCGGACGACAAATGCAGCTTTGCGGTTGTCTGTAAGGCCTTTTTCATTAATTTGCATCCCTGTGCTCACATCCAGCCTATCCACCAAGACAGCCAAGGGAGAGTGTGGAATCTGGTTCACTGGAAAAAAGGGGAATGTAAAACACACGGCAGGGTCTTGGTCTTCTGTGCCTAGGAAAAAGCTGTGTGGCCAGAACTCCCGGTGGTGATGCACAGATTAAGCGTTCCTGGCCGTTTTTGTCCTTGGTCCAGCACTGGTTCCAGGCAGCTTGTAGTGCCGCACCTGCCATATAGGCAGGGGCTGGGCAGCACTCCTAAATGACTGGCAGGTAGGGCTTGTCTGGAGAGGTATAGGTCAGTCCATCACCAGGAAGGAAACACAGGTTGCCCATCTCCCCTTGCCGTTAGGTGATAAAGGCATCTGGCCAGCTTGGGGATACATGTGTGGACTTGGATATTATTATTATTATAACATTTCTATGCCGCCCCTTGCCGAAGCCTCGGGGCAGCTTACAACACAGTAAAGTACATTGAAATACAATAGAACATAATAAATTACCACTAAATACAAAAAATACAAAAATACTGGTATAGATCCAGCAGTGAGTATCGGAACAAGCACACCATGGACCGCTTTGGGCCAGAAGACTTTAGAAAGAAGATACATCTTCCTTTTGTTTGCCCCACCTCCTGTGTGTCCTGTTTCCACAGGAATAGTGGGCCTTGATGCACAGACTTCGAATATTCTATTAAAATATCTTGGCTAATTTCAGGCCAGGGCTAGGAAAGCTCTGAGTGGCCTCCAGTTTCCATTCATCCCAGTCAGCATGGGCTTCTGAGTCCAGCAACCATGGCAAGAGGGCCAGAAGCTCTTCCTCCCTGTTGTAAGCTCTAATTAAATTTATACTACCATTTAAATATATAAATATACAACCAGCTTCATCACATGTGATTGCTGAGCAGTTTGCATAAAGATGTAAAACATGATATACAGACCAAGGAAAATATGATAAATAAATAAATAAAGGGCACAATCCTAGGCATGTTTAGACAGAGGAAAAAGTGATACAATTCCCATCATTCCCCAGCCAGTGTGAACTTTGGAACGAGCTCCCCAGAGAGGTCCCCCTGGTGCTTTCCTTGCATTCTTTTAGGCACCACATGAAAAACCTTTTTATTTCCATGGTATTCTAATTGTTAACATATTTTAAGTAGCATTTTAACTGTAGGTATGTCATTACTGTGGTGCATTTTATCCTGGTTTTAATGTTTTTTATTTGTAATTGTTGTTTCATTTTGTATTTTAATCTTTATTTTATTCTATTTTATGTTTTATTTGGTATTTTTTTCTGCTGTAACCCAATGGCTAATGGGGTGGGTTAGAAATTTAATGAATAAATAAATAGGCTGGGAAATGCTGGGCGCTGCAGGACTTTTTATCTAAACGCGCATTGGACTGCACCTTGAAAAAAGGACAAAGGCAGCGAAACTGAGCAGTGTGCTGGTATGTTAGGAAAAGGCTGATTGAGCAGGCTTGCCTTCCAGAAGCAGCTGAGCTTTGACACAGCTTCCATCTCTTGGACGGTACGTGGAGAGTGGGTGCGTGCCACCGCCAAGGCAGACCCACTTACCTGCCGCTACCTGATGACATGCTGCTGATTGTGGGATGACCCATGATGCCACCTCGGGGGCTCTGAGGGGTCGGTCTGAGGCGTGGAGGCGGCCTGGCGGCCAGGGATCCTCTTCTCGAGTTGTTTCAGCTTCTTCGCACCAGCAATGTGAGAAGCAATCCACCGGTATAAAGACCTCGGACAGCATTTCATGCTAACTTGTTTTACAAAATGGAATTCCCTTCCATGTTATCCTCATCAGCAGAGTCTCCAAGCTCTGAGGTGGGGGCACAGGGCAGCAAGCCAGGCTGAATTACAGGTGACTCATAATGGAAGCTCTTGGGCTATACGCGATTGTCTTTTTCATGTGTGCACTGCATTTATGGGGGCGGAAGCTCCTCTCAAGTCTGGGAAAATGTTTCTGGTTTGGCAGAGGAGAGCTCCATGCGCATTCCACTGGGCTGCGCGAGGCCGTTTTATTTACAAACACGTTCCTATAACTGTGTAACCATCTCTCCCAATTCCAGGAACAGCTGTTGCTTTCTGCTCACAGCATGCCTTTGGCAGAGCCCAAGAGGGCATCTGTGGCTCAGGGCTAAATGTTGAGGCGCAGAAACCCCTTGTGAGCATCCCCTTGGCCTGGGTCCCCAACTTAGAGTCCAAAAATGCAGGTGGGTGCATTGATCCCTATCAGTAAAACACTTCCGGGAGTTTTCCTCTGCTAAGACCAGGCCTTTTCTAAAGTGAGTGGGTCTTAATCACTCATTCCACTCTAAGCCATCCTGAAATACTTGGCCTTCTGTGGAGGAGCAGAGCGTTTTTGCAACAAGCTAACATTCGGTCCCCCCACCCCATCCCAAGCTCGGCCCAGAGAGAACGGGGAATGCAGATGATGGCAGTAGCCCTGCTAGCCAGGAAGTGCTGACAGGGCTTCTTTGTGCCCGTCAGAGGGCTCAGGGAGCTGGGACTCAGGTTTCTGGTGCAGGGCAGTGCAGCCCTAGGGAGGGCCCTATCCAGCTCAGCGCCCTCACAGGGCAGTCCGAAAGGGGCTCGATGGAGCCCTCTTTTCCCTTCCCTTCCCTTCCCTTCCCTTCCCTTCCCTTCCCTTCCCTTCCCTTCCCCTCTCTCCCTCCTGCTGCTGCTGATGGCCAGAATGGAGCCCTTTGTCTGCTGCAGGAGAGGAACTGCAGCTCACACCAGAGTGCTTTGCTTTGCACAGGGGAGGTCCCGAGGGCGCTCTCTGGACTTGCCAGGTAAATGGCCAGGTCATCAGTATGTGGAAGACCCTCCACTGGAGGGCTCAGATCAAGGCAGGTGTTGCTCCGAAGCCCTCCATCCCTTCCTTTTCTGGCGTGGGGTGGGGGAGCTGCAGGGACCAGATGCGGCCCGTGTGGTCCAGCTCTAGGTGCAGCATTGCCTTGGCCCTGCTCCCCGCGAGCTCCAGAGCCAGTGAGCACTCTTCTTTTTCTTCCTCTTCGGTTGACTCATAGGCTGCCTGATCAAACTTTGGCTTAGGCTTGGATCCGGGCCTGACCATTTTTCCATGCAGAGCTGAGCCCTTAAAAGCGTGTTAACTGAGCTTTCTGGGTTCTGCTGCGTGCCGTGGGGGTAATGGCTTCCCCATCCTGTTCCAGTCGCTGAGAAGGGACGCAGCCTTGAATCACAAATGGGAAACAGATTGTCTCTCCTGGCGAGGGCTTGCGATGCTGGTTTTGTAGCTCTTTCCCCTAACTTGGAGCTTAGATTACAAGATTTTGTAAATCGAAGGAAAACCATCTCTTCTCCTCCCACTCCCCCCTCCCCCGAGAAGCCCCTTCCCACCGAAGACGTGGAGGAACAGCTGCACAAATGGTGCTTTTGTACAACCTTGGAGAAGGAGCCGAGGGAGAAGGAGAAATGGATGTGGTTGAGGAAGAAAGCCCA